TATAATTCACTGTCTCACAATTCCAGTGGGTCACAAGTTTACACACACTAAGTTGACTGTGCCTTTAAACAGCTTGGAAAATTCCAGAAAATTATGTCATGGCTTTAGAAGCTTCTGATAGGCTAATTAACATAATTTGAGTCAATTGGAGGTGTACCTGTGGATGTATTTCAAGGCCTACCTTCAAACTCAGTGCCTCTTTGCTTGACATCATGGGAAAATCAAAAGAAAGCAGCCAAGACCTCTGGTTCATCCTTGGGAGCAATTTCCAAACGCCTGAAGGTACCACGTTCATCTGTACAAACAATAGTACGCAAGTTTAAACACCATGGGACCACGCAGCCGTCATACCGCTCAGGAAGGAGATGCGTTCTGTCTCCTAGAGATGAACGTACTTTGGTGCGAAACTGCAAATCAATCCCAGAACAACAGCAAAGGACCTTGTGAAGATGCTGGAGGAAACAGGTACAAAAGTATCTATATCCACAGTAAAACGAGTCCTATATCGACATAACCTGAAAGGCCGCTCAGCAAGGAAGAAGCAACTGCTCCAAAACCACCAGAAAAAAGCCAGACTACGGTTTGCAACTGCAAATGGGGACAAAGATCGTACTTTTTTGAGAAATGTCCTCTGGTCTGATGAAACAAAAATAGAACTGTTTGGCCATAATGACCATCGTTATGTTTGGAGGAAAAAGGGGAAGGCTTGCAAGCCGAAGAACACCTTCCCAACCGTGAAGCACGGGGGTGGCAGCATCATGCTGTGGGGGTGCTTTGCTGCAGGAGGGACTGGTGCACTTCACAAAATAGATGGCATCACGAGGAAGTAAAATTATGTGGATATATTAAAGAAACATCTCAAGACATCAGTCAGGAAGTTAAAGCTTGGTCGCAAATGGGTCTTCCAAATGGACAATGACCCCAAGCATACTTCCAAAGTTGTGGCAAAATGGCTTAAGGACAACAAAGTCAAGGTATTGGAGTGGCCATCACAAAGCCCTGACCTCAATCCTATAGAACATTTGTGGGCAGAACTGAAAAAGCGTGTGCGAGCAAGGAGGCCTACAAAACTGACTCAGTTACACCAGCTCTGTCAGGAGGAATGGGCCAAAATTCACCCAACTTATTGTGGGAAGCTTGTGTAAGGCTACCCGAAACGTTTGACCCAAGTTAAACAATTTAAAGGCAATGCTACCAAATACTAATTGAGTGTATGTAAACATCTGACCCACTGGGAATGTGATGAAAGAAATAAAAGCTGAAATAAATCATTCTCTCTACTATTATTCTGACATTTCACATTCTTAAAATAAAGTGGTGATCCTAACTGACCTAAGACAGGGAAGTTTTACAAGGATTAAATGTCAGGAATTGTGAAAAACGGAGTTTAAATGTATTTGGCTAAGGTGTATGTAAACTTCCGACTTCAACTGTATGTGCAAACACAAATAACAATAGATGTCATATACAGACATATGCAACACTAAAGAGATCTGATTCTAATGAATAAATCCAGTACCACATCAGACACACAGCAACAGAGAAATCCCACAGGCAACACATTCAACCAGCCCAATAGCCCTGTAGTCAAATATCACACTCACACTACAGTGAGCAATGGAGAGATCATCTCTCTCACTGATTGTCACCACACTTGTGACACAAAGATTAGAAGGGATGGTGTGGCATGGTGACAAGTAAGCACATAGTAATCAACAAAGACATAAGGCCAGATTCAACCAAGCCTGCCTTGCCAATGTACATGGCCTTGTGCACACATCATAATCTAAAAACTGTAGGCATCTACCTTTGACGGGAGGGGGAACAATAACTTGAAAAAAATTTATCACAGGGAAAATAGTGTTTTATACAACGGTGGAAAAAACACAACACAGTTTGGATTTAATTTAGCCCTTCAAATGAATCTGTGAGTGACTAGTTGCTATGGTTCTATTCCCATAAGCCGTATGACTGAAGGACAATGTGCTTAATAAGTGTATATGGATTAATTTGTGCTTCATTAATACTGCATCGTTTGTCTACTGAACCGACTGACTTTGGTCCTCCTAGGTGTAATGTTCTGTATGCTTTAATAGACAGCAGAGGGCGCATGTTGGCCTTAGCTAACTGGAATGTTAAACATGCTGATGCAGAGTGAGCATAAGACCACTATGTGATATGCAGGAAGCTTGAGCTGTAATGCTGGACTCATTGATGCATTAAAGGTTATTCTAAAGTAACTATATTCTAGCCTTTCAAAATTAAAGGTTATCTCCACTGATGTGTTAAATAGGTTCTCATCTTATTTACTCATCTTTGACTGGTTTTCCAATATCAAGTTCCTCAGAGGTCTCATAGAACCAATTACAAAAAATATACAGGATACATATGATGTAACTCTATCTCCATCTCTTTCTCTCTCATACGCACACAACATATAACTATTTAGACATATATTTCACTGCTTGATGTAAATTTGATGTGGACAAACATACATAGTACTTTTTTTGTGTGCATATCAACAAAACCGATCCCTTCGAATTACCATCAATAAATAAACTAAAATATTTACCAGTTATTGGTCATTATTTATTTCCTTACAATGTATCTTCAACACACATGCACAGTCTGTTTTATATATAATAAAATAACTAGTATCAATGCCAAGTTTGAAGAAATAATCTACATCATTATTTTGAAGCAGGGAGCTTCATGCATGTCACCTGGTAAGGGAAATATTGTTTGCAATATTCTCTTTCAGAGGAAGCCAATAAGATATTTAAATGACAATAATCCTGTCCTCCCTTGCTCACTGATCCTAAAGGACAGAGGAGATAAGATGCAAGCAATAGGCTGATCAACCAATGGGCTTTCATCATACTGCTAATATTAAAGTATTAATTTGAGCTCTGCTTTTTCAGTGGAAAATTAAGTTACAGTGAAAGCTATTTTCAGGTGGGAATCTATTGGAGGGCATCTTTAACCTCAGATTATTTGGTATTACTGTCAGATATGGGTGCTAGGATGAATTGAGGGTGTATACAGTCATGGTCAAAAGTTTTGAGAATCACACAAATACTAATTTTCACAAAGTCTGCTGCCTCAGTTTTGATGATGGCAATTTGCATATACTCCAGAATGTCATGAAGAGTGATCAGATGAATTGTAATGAATTGCAAAGTCCCTCTTTGCCATGAAAATGAACTTAATCCCCAAAAAACATTTCCACTGCATTTCAGCCCTGCCACAAAAGGAACATCATGTCAGTGATTCTCTCGTTAACACAGGTGAGAGTGTTGACGAGGACAAGGCTGGAGATCACTCTGTCATGCTGATTGAGTTAGAATAACAGACTGGAAGCTTTAAAAGGAGGGTGGTGCTTGAAATCATTGTTCTTCCTCTGTTAACCATCATTGTTCTTCCTCTGTTAACCATGGTTACCTGCAAGGAAACATGTGCTGTCATTATTGCTTTGGCACAAAAAGGGCTTCACAGGCAAGGATATTGGCTGCTACGTAAGATTGTACCTAAATAAACCATTTATCGGATCATAAAGAACTTCAAGAAGAGAGGTTCCAATTGTTGTGAAGAAGGGTCAGGGCGCGCAAGAAAGTCCAGCAACGCCAGGACCGTCTCCTAAATTGACTCAGGCTGCGGGATCGGGGCACCACCATTGCAGAGTTTGCTCAGGATGGCGCAGGCGTGTGAGTGCATCTGCACGCCAGTGAGGCGAAGACTTTTGAGGATGGCCGGTGGTCAAGAGGGCATCAAGAAGCCACTTCTCTCCAGGAAAAACTCAGGGACACTGATATTCTGCAAAAGGTCACAGGGATGACTGGCTGAGGACTGTGGGTAAGTCATTTTCGTTGATGAATCCCCTTTTCCGATTGCTTGGGGCAAATCCGGAAAACAACCTTGTCCGGAGAATACAAGGTGAGCGCTACCATCAGTCCTGTGTCATGCCAACAGTAAAGCATCCTGAGACCATTCATGTGTGGGGTTGCTTCTCAGCCAAGGGAGTGGGCTCACAGCCATGAATAAAGAATGGTACCAACACATCCTCCGAGAGCAACTTCTCCAACCATCCAAGAACAGTTTGGTGACGACCAATGCCTTTTCCAGCATGATGGAGCACCTTGCCATAAGGCAAGTGATAACTAAGTGGCTCGGGGAACAAAACATCAACATTTTGAGTCCATGGCCAGGAAACTCCCCAGACCTTAATCCCATTGAGAACTTGTGGTCGATCCTCAAGAGGCGGGTGGACAAACAAAAACCCACAAATTCTGACAAACTCCAAGCATTGATTATGCAAGAATGGGCTGCCATCAGTCAGGATGTGGCCCAGAAGTTAATTGACAGCATGCCAGGGCAGATTGCAGAGGTCTTGAAAAAGAAGGGTCAACACTGCAAATATTGACTCTTTGCATAAACTTAATGTAATTGTCAATAAAAGCATTTGACGCTTATGGAATGCTTGTAATTATACTTCAGTATACCATAGTAACATCTGACATAAATATCTCATAACACTGAAGCAGCGAACTTTGTGAAGACCAATACTTGTGTCATTCTCAAAACTTTTGACCACGACTGTAGATGTTTGATCTCTTTTGTTGGGAAGTATCCCCATTAGGCATTGTAGCTATCAAGCAGTATCTTTGTATCCGTTGGCAGTGGTTTATAAACTGGTATCTTTGTTGGCAGGATTTTTCATTCTGTCTAATCCGTAGGGTCTCTGAGAAGCAAAATGTGCTATTTTATGCTGTGGTGAAGATGTCAGCTAGTCTGTGCTGGCTATATCGGTTAGATCTGCATTTTAAGTATGATGCTATCGTCAGTAATCTGGGACTGTTGTGACACTGTTAATGACAGTCTGTTTATTAGTGTTTAATGAGCAATGTTGGATTGCTAAGGGCTGGGATTGTATGGTTGGTCAGGCCCTGGTTGCAATGTGGCCACTGAAGCTACACTCTGCTGCCTTCTGGTCGTGAATTATGCTACTGCAGCACCTGGCCCCGTGTTTCAGGCAGCTTTAGTGCTAGGAAACTGCCGGCAGCGAGTGCGCCCGCAGCGAACAAAATGGGCACAGCTTTGGTGATGCCTACGAAGGACTGGAATATGCTTATGCCCAGGACAGCAGCCAGCTTGCAAAGGGCATTTAAGAAGCCAAATGCAGTGGTCCTAAAAAAGAGAAGACCGTGGAAATTGTCAGCACTTCTGGCAGGGTAACTTCTCAAAACATAACATGAAAACTTAAATATGTTTTCAATAAAAACATTTGCATAAAATACACATTTATTCACTGTGCAAGAATAAAGGAGCTATAACACTTTCAAAATGTGAGGTAGCTGCGCTTGCCTTTTATCCGAGGGGTACAGTTCTACAGTCAACACATCCAGGGCATTCCAGGAAGCTATGCTGATGCCGCCAAAGAGACATAAGAGGGCGATCATTCCCGACTCGGTACTGCCGAATGACAGGAAGAAACAGCTGATACAAGATATGACACTTGATCCCGCTGTGTAGGAAATGAGATTGAGGGGGAAGAGAAAGAGGAGCAAAAATCTGACAAAGGGATCTTTCTGTAGTAGGCTAATCATGAAATACTGTGGTGTAGTAATGCATGATTAATGTATCATCAGATGTATAATCTCAAAATATACACATTTTCTTTAAATGTTGTATAAAGTATTAATAACACATTAATGAAGGCGTGACATACCCAACATCCTCAGACGTCCAATTTTGTCCATCAGCAGGGCTGACACAATGTTGCCAGGTAATACGGCCAAAGTGCCCAGGAAACTGACAAAGTAGATCATGTATGCGTTGTTGTCATCAGTGAAGTCCAGCAGACAGCCTTCCTTGTTGTGTAGGAAGGTGCTGTTTACCAGTTTGCTGTTGATGATTCTGTTCTGGAACAAGTCTGAGAAGAGAAAAGAAAGCAAGAGATGTGTCAAGAAGGGACCAAGGGTAGGATACTGCCCAGTTCAATGCTAGGCATGGACTGAGCTCAAAACTATTGTAAGCTCTACTTTATATTGCTTATGCTTCTTGATTTGGGAGACACTTTACCTGTATTGTAAAAGAGGGTTGAGATGAAGGTGCAGTTTCTGAAGAAGCTTCTGCTAGAGGTGATGTCCTCAAAGTAGCACTCCTCAAACACTGAGTCCTCGAACACCATGGACTTCATCTTAAGGTTGATGAACCTTGTGGACAATGGAAAAGTAAGAAAGACGTATTTAACGGCCCGATTGTATTAGAGTCGACTAACAATTAGTGTCCATAGCATAGTTGCAAAATTAAGACCCGCACAGTTTACCATTCCCGATTAAATACAGAAGAAAATTTAGCAAATTCAGAAAGTTCTGTGTAAGATAATGAGGACTGACTTGTCGTTGAAGTACTGTCCTTGGCGGTGCACCTGGTTTTCCAAGGTGAAGTTAAAAGTGACATGCTCCACTTGCTCCTTGGTGAAGAACTTGGTGCGTGAGGCATATTCCTGCTTCTGGATGTACTTGATCATGTCAGGGAACCACACTGTCAGCCCATAGTAGCTGAGGGAGAAGCAAAATACAAATGTAGTTAAACCAAACAAAAATGATTATGTTTCTTTATTTTATTACACTATGTTGAAATCAGTTGAGATAAGTATGAACCTTAATATTATCAATGGCCAGTATGTTAAGACGAAAGGTTTTATATGACAAAACATTTGTTTAGCTTTTTGATTGATCAGAAAATAACCAGTTTGTGCACAGGCCACTGATAACCGCTATGGTCATGGCCCTGGTTCTGTTACCTGAAGGACATGGTAAACCAGACAGCCATCATCATTAATGTGGTCCTTTTGTATTCTGGATTGAAGATGGCCAAGAAGTTACTCCGCACCTATAGCAACCCACAGACAATTACTGAAATATGCATCTAGGTTTTACTGCTGACATGGTTTAAAAACATAAAAACCCACTATAAAACACATTGCACCATTTTTTGGGACCTAAGCATAAATTGGCCTTTGGTCGTTTCGGATAAAAGCATCTGCTAAGTGGCATACATCATCTATGCAGTCTCATTCATACAGTAAATAAACATATTCTGTATGAAATATAAAAGATATACACAGAAAATAATCATATTCTCATACCTTTATAGGGATCTTAACATGACTCTTACCTGTTGGAATAGGCTGGTCAGCTTCAATTTATAGCGTCGCAAAGTTGATATGTCTCCTCCCATGTCCACCAGCTCGTCCATCTGCTTTACAGTCTTGATGGTGGTGACCTGGGAAAAATAAGACCTTCCATTTTCAACTCATTTGTGTGCAGTACATGTATACATTAGATTAGATCGGATTAGATTAAATTAGATTTTCCTGTGAGGGAACTTCTTATTTGGAGTGGTAAAAAAACAAAAAACAAAACATAGTACGTCTAGGACACGCAGTAGACAAACAATAGTCTCACCAGACACTTCCAGCCTGGGGACGAGGTTACACAAAAACAAACAGCTAGGACAGGAGAATACAACTTCATAAACACTTTTTGCAGAAGAACCCTTCGATTCAAAGACTTTACATGTTTGTCTCAGAAATACTCACAGAAAACACCTTCTCTGGGTGTCCCTTTGCTCTCATGTTGGTGTCGTGAACTTGTTTCAGAATCATCCAGCCTTCGTCGTGTTTGCCGTTCTGTTGGGAAATGATTGCATACTTCATCAAAAATACTTACAGTTGAAACACATTACGAGTATTGTGAAACATTACGTCTGTGTGAAGTGTCTAAGGGTAGACTGTAATGTGCCTTCATTTCCATGAGTTTGTAATAAAACCTTATATTTAGGGTTATGCTATTAGACTAAGACAATTGTGCTAAGCTCAACAATCAACGCGTAAATCTGAAGAATCTGAAGAATTGAAAATATTAAATTAACAAGATCCCAGATTGTACCTTTAAAGGTATAATCTGCTATATTTACTGCTGTTCAATAGCCAACTCATGTAATGATATACAGTGCCTTCAGAAAGTATTCACACCCCTTGACATTTTCCACATTTTGTTGTGTTACAGCCTGAATTAAATTGAGATTTCTGGTCACTGGCCTACACACAATACCCCATAATGTCAAAGTGGAATTATATTTCTCAATTTTTTACAAATTAATTAACAATTAAAAGCTTAAATGTCTTGAGTAAATAAGTATTCAACCCATTTGTTATGGCAAGCCTAAATAACTTCAGGAGTAAAAATGTGCTTAACAAGTCACATAATATGTTGCATGGACTCACACATACAATTATCTGTAAGGTCCCTCAGTCGAGCAGTGAATTTTAAACACAGATTCAACCACAAAGACCAGGGAGGTTTTCCAATGTCTCGTAAAGAAGGGCACCTATTGGTAGATGGGTAAAAATAAAAAAAAGCAGACATTGAATATCCCTTTGAGCATGGTGAAGTTTTTAATTACACTTTGGGGTGTATCAATACACCCAGTCACTACAAAGATACAGGCATCCTTCCTAACTCAGTTGCCGGAGAGGAAGGAAACCGCTCAGGGATTTCACCATGAGGCCAATGGTGACTTTAAAACAGTTACATAGTTTAATGGCTGTGATTGTCACACCCTGATCTGTTTCACCTGTCTTTGTGCTTGTCTCCACCCCCCTCTAGGTGTCGCCCATCTTCCCCATTATCCCCTGTGTATAAATACCTGTGTTGTCTGTTGCCAGTTCGTCTTGTCTCGTCAAGCCTACCAGCGTTTTTTCCGTGCTCCTGTTTTTCCAGTCCCTGTTTTCTAGTCCTCCCGGTTCCGACCATTTCTGCCTGCCCTGACCCTGAGCCCGCCTGCCTTACCACTCTGCCTGCCCTGACCTCAGAGGAGTTTGTGGCGGAGGTACATAAAGTGTTCAATTCTCTGTTGTCCGGGAGAAGCTGCTCCAACTACGTCAGGATTCCCGTATTGATTTTCGCATGTTGGCGGCTGAGAGTGCCTGGAACCCAGAAGCCCTGTTCGACGCGTTCCTTCACAGATTATCGAAGGTGATTAAAGATGAGCTTGCAGCCCGGGAGCTGCCCCTGGACCTCAACTCCCTCATAGCCTTGACCATCCGGATCGATGGGCGGCTACGGGAACGTAGGAGGGAGAGGGAGTCTGTTCCCTGTCTCCAACGCTCGTCCTCAATTTCCACCTCGCCTCCAAGGAATCCCGGAAATCCCCGAAGTCCACATTTCCGAGTGGATCCGATGTCGCCCGAGTTCTCTCGGAGGTCACCGAGGGCTGTCGAGTCGTCTCCTCCGGAGCCCATGCAACTGGGCAGGGCTACATTGTCTCCTGCTGAGCGTTTACGCAGGCTAAACACCCAGAGCTGTCTGTATTGTGGAGCTACGGGACATTTCTTATCTACCTGCCCATTAAAATACCAGGCTCATCAAGTAGGTACAAGTATGTTGGTGAGCCATACGGGGAGTTTCCCATCTTCCATTTCTCGTACCCCTCTCCATGCTATCCTGTTGTGGGGTGACCAGTCCAAATCTCTCCAGGTGCTCATTGACTCTGGGGCCGACAAGAGCTTTATGGACGCTACCCTGGTGTCGGAGCAGGGAATCCCCACACAACCCCTCTCCATTCCCAAGGACATCAGTGCGTTGGATTGGCGCTCTATTGGCAGTCACCCACACTACGTGTCCCAATAACCTGAGAGTATCGGGTAATCACAGTGAGTCTATGCAGTTCCTGCCCATTGAATCCCCTCATGCACCCGTGGTTTTGGGGTTTTCCTGGCTCCAGAGGCACAATCCTCTGATCGACTGGGCTTCTGGTTCTATCCTGGGTTGGAGCCCATTTTGCCATGCGCATTGCCTGAAGTCAGCGCTGCCTGCCCCGGGACTTCTTCCTGTGGGCTTGGGAAAAGTCCCGGACCTCTCCACCATTCCCGCGGAATACCAGGACCTCCGGGAGGTTTTCAGCAAGGCCTGTGCCACCTCGCTTCCTCCGCATCGGCCCTATGACTGCCGCGGGGGTGGCTTTTTTCCCTGTCAGGTCCGGAGACCAAGGCGATGGAGATGTATATTGACGACTCCCTGGCTGCAGGGGGTATCCGTCCTTCGGCGCAGGGTTCTTCTTTGTGGAGAAGAAGGACAAAACCCTGCGTTCATGTTTCGACTACCGGGGCCTGAATGACATCACGGTTAAAAAACGTTACCCGCTTCCATTCATCGCCTCCGCTTTCAAGCCTCTCCAGGGGGCTACCATCTTCTTCAAGTTGGACCTCTGGAATGCCTACCATCTGGTACGGATACGGGAAGGGGACGAGTGGAAGACCACCATTAACACGGCTCGCGGGCACTACGAATACCTGGTGATGCCGTTTGGACTGACCAATGCTCCTGCTGTATTCCAGGCCCTGGTAAACGACGTTCTCGGTGACATGTTGAACCGGTTCGAGTTCGTCTACTTCGATGACATCCTCATTTTTTCCCCACTCGGCTCAAGAACATGAAGTGTCTTCTGGAGAACTAGCTGTTCGTCAAAGCGGAAAAATGCGAATTCCATCGTTCCACCATCTCCTTCCTTGGATACATCAGAGCTGCAGGCAACATACAGATGGATCCCGGAAAGGTGAGAGCAGTGGTGGATTAGCCGCAACCCACCTCCAGAGTGCAGCTGCAACACTTCCTGGGGTTGCAGCTGCACTCATTTCATTCCTCTCTCCAAGCTACCCTCAGCCAAGGAGACGGCCCAGCTCATGGTGCAGCACGTCTTCTGGATCCTTGGACTTCCGGTGGACATGGTCTCCGACCGGAGTCCTCAGTTCTCGTCCCAGTTCTGAAAGGCGTTCTGCACGCTCATTGGGTTGTCGGCCAGCCTGTCCTCCGGGTTCTACCCCCAGTCTAACGGCCAGTCGGAGCGAGCCAATCAGGACCTGGAGACGACTCTTCGCTGCCTCCGCCAACCCCACCACCTGGAGCCAGCAAATCGTGCGGGTAGAGTACATCCGCAACACCCTCCCTTGCTCACCTACTGGTCTCTTGACTTTTGAGTGTTACCTGGGATATCTTCCCGGAGCAAGAGGAAGAGTTCAGCATGCCCTCGACACAGATTTTCGTCCACCGCTGTAGCCATACCTGGAAGAGCCCGGTCGGCTATTCTCAAGACCACCTCCAGGTATCGACGACAGACGGACCGCCACCGGACCCCTGCTCCCCGTTATCGTCTCGGGCAGAGGGTAAGGCTGTCCACTCGGGATCTACCCCTCCGGGTGGAGACCCGCAAACTTCCCCCCGTTTATCGTCCCTTTCCTCATCTCCAAGATTCTTAGCCCCTCTGCTGTTTGTCTTCTGTTGCCCAGTACCCTCCATATACAGTGGGGGAAAAAAGTATTTAGTCAGCCACCAATTGTGCAAGTTCTCCCACTTAAAAAGATGAGAGAGGCCTGTAATTTTCATCATAGGTACACGTCAACTATGACAGACAAATTGAGGAAAAGAAATCCAGAAAATCACATTGTAGGATTTTTTATTAATTTATTTGCAAATTATGGTGGAAAAAAAGTATTTGGTCACCTACAAACAAGCAAGATATCTGGCTCTCACAGACCTGTAACTTCTTCTTTAAGAGGCTACTCTGTCCTCCACTCGTTACCTGTATTAATGGCACCTGTTTGAACTTGTTATCAGTATAAAAGACACCTGTCCACAACCTCAAACAGTCACACTCCAAACTCCACTATGGCCAAGACCAAAGAGCTGTCAAAGGACACCAGAAACAAAATTGTAGACCTGCACCAGGCTGGGAAGACTGAATCTGCAATAGATAAGCAGCTTGGTTTGAAGAAATCAACTGTGGGAGCAATTATTAGGAAATGGAAGACATACAAGACCACTGATAATCTCCCTCGATCTGGGGCTCCACGCAAGATCTCACCCCGTGGGGTCAAAATGATCACAAGAACGGTGAGCAAAAATCCCAGAACCACACGGGGGGACCTAGTGAATGACCTGCAGAGAGCTGGGACCAAAGTAACAAAGCCTACCATCAGTAACACACTACGCCGCCAGGGACTCAAATCCTGCAGTGCCAGACGTGTCCCCCTGCTTAAGCCAGTACATGTCCAGGCCCGTCTGAAGTTTGCTAGAGTGCATTTGGATGATCCAGAAGAGGATTGGGAGAATGTCATATGGTCATATGAAACCAAAATAGAACTTTTTGGTAAAAACTCAACTCGTCGTGTTTGGAGGACAAAGAATGCTGAGTTGCATCCAAAGAACACCATACCTATTGTGAAGCATGAGGGTGGAAACATCATGCTTTGGGGCTGTTTTTCTGCAAAGGGACCAGGACGACTAATCCGTGTAAAGGAAAGAATGAATGGGGCCATGTATCGTGAGATTTTGAGTGAAAACCTCCTTCCATCAGCAAGGGCATTGAAGATGAAACGTGGTTGGGTCTTTCAGCATGACAATGATCCCAAACACACCGCCCGGGCAACGAAGGAGTGGCTTCGTAAGAAGCATTTCAAGGTCCTGGAGTGGCCTAGCCAGTCTCCAGATCTCAACCACATAGAAAATCTTTGGAGGGAGTTGAAAGTCCGTGTTGCCCAGCGACAGCCCCAAAACATCACTGCTCTAGAGGAGATCTGCATGGAGGAATGGGCCAAAATACCAGCAACAGTGTGTGAAAACCTTGTGAAGACTTACAGAAAACGTTTGACCTGTGTCATTGCCAACAAAGGGTATATAACAAAGTATTGAGAAACTTTTGTTATTGACCAAATACTTATTTTCCACCATAATTTGCAAATAAATTCATAAAAAATCCTACAATGTGATTTTCTGGAAAAGAAATTCTCATTTTGTCTGTCATAGTTGACGTGTACCTATGATGAAAATTACAGGCCTCTCTCATCTTTTTAAGTGGGAGAACTTGCACAATTGGTGGCTGACTAAATACTTTTTTTCCCCACTGTACATCCCACTTTTCATGTGTCTAGGATTAAACCTATGTCTCACAGCCCTTTGTCTCCTGTTTCCACTCTGCCTGCCCTGACCTTGAGCCTGCCTGCCGTCCTGTACCTACCTGACTCTGACCTGGTTTACGAACTCCTGCCTGTCCTCGACCTGCCTCTTGCCTGCCCCCCCCTGTTTTGTTAATAAACATCTGTCATTCGAACTGTCTGCATCTGGGTCTGATCTTGAGTTCTGATAGTGATAGGAGAATGGATCAACAACATTGTAGTTACTCCACAATACTAACCTAATTGACAGAGTGAGAAGAAGGAAGCCTGTACAGAATAAAAAATATTCCAAAACATGCATCCTGTTTGCAACAAGGCACTAAAGTAATAATGCAAAAAAATGTTGCAAAGCAATTAACTTTTTGTCCTGAATACAAAGCGGGATATTTTCAAGCATGGTGGTGGCTGCATCATGTTATGGGTATGCTTGTCATTGGCAAGGACTAGGGAGTATTTTAGAATAAACAGAAACAGAATAGAGCTAAGCACAGACAAAATCCTAGATGCTTTCCAACAGACACTTGGACACAAATGCACCGCTTAGCAGGACAATAACCTAAAACACACAACCAAATATACACTGTAGTTCCTTACCAAGGCGACATTGAACGTTCCTGAGTGGCCTAGTTACAGTTTTGACTTAAATCGGCTTGAAAATCTATGGCAAGACTTAAAAATGGCTGACTAGCAATGATCAACAACCAACTTGACCAATCAACAACCAATTATTTTTTAAAGAATAACGTGCAAATATTGTACAATCCAGGTGTGCAAAGCTCTTAGAGACTTACCCAGAAATACTTGCAACTGTAAGTATTTCCTCTGTAGCTCAGCTGGTAGAGCACGGCTCTTGTAACGCCAAGGTAGTGGGCTCGATCCCCGGGACCACCCATACACACAAAAAAAAAAATGTATGCACGCATAACTGTAAGTCGCTTTGGATAAAAGTGTCTGCTAAATGGCATATTATTATTATTATTATCACTGCCAAAGGTGATTCTAACATGTATTCACTCAGGGGGTTGAATACTTACAGTTGAAGTCGCAAGTTTACATACACCTTAGCCAAATACATTTAAACTCAGTTTTTCACAATTCCTGACATTTAATCCTTGTAGAAATTCCCTGTCTTAGGTCAGTTAGGATCACCATTTTACTTTAAGAATGTAAAATGTCAGGATAATAGTAGAGAGAATGATTTATTTCAGCTTTTCTTTCCTTCATCACATTCCCAGTGGGTCAGAAGTTTACATACACTCAATTAGTATTTGGTAGCATTGCCTTTAAATTGTTTAACTTGGGTCAAACGTTTCGGGTAGCCTTCCACAAGCTTCCCACAATAAGTTGGGTGAATTTTGGCCCATTCCTCCTGACAGAGCTGGTGTAACTGAGTCAGGTTTGTAGGCCTCCTTGCTCTCACACACTTTTTCAGTTCTGCCCACAAATGTTCTATAGGATTGAGGTCAGGGCTTTGTGATGGCCACTCCAATACCTTGACTTTGTTGTCCTTAAGCCATTTTGCCACAACTTTGGAAGTATGCTTGGGGTCATTGTCCATTTGGAAGACCCATTTGCGACCAAGCTTTAACTTCCTGACTGATATCTTGAGATGTTGCTTCAATATATCCACATAATTTTCCTTCCTCATGATGCCATCTATTTTGTGAAGTGCACCAGTCCCTCCTGCAGCATAGCACCCCCACAGCATGATGCTGCCACCCACGTGCTTCACAGTTGGTATGGTGTTCTTCGGCTTGCAAGCGTTCCTCTTTTTCCTCCAAACATAACGATGGTCATTATGGCCAAACAGTTCTATTTTTGTTTCATCAGAACAGAGGACATTTCTCAAAAAAGTACGATCTTTGTCCCCATGTGCAGTTGCAAACCGTAGTCTGGCTTTTTATGGCGGTTTTGGAGCAGTGGCTTCTTCCTTGCTGAGCGTCCTTTCAGGTTACGTCGATATAGGATCTGTTTTACTGTGGATATAGATACTTTTGTACCTGTTTCCTCCAGCATCCTCACAAGGTCCTTTGCTGTTGTTCTGGGATTGATTTGTACTTTTCGCACCAAAGTACGATCTTCTCTAGGAGACAGAATGCGTCTCCTTCCTGAGCGGCTGCGTGGTCCCATGGTGTTTGTACTTGCGTACTATTGTTTGTACAGATGAACGTGGTACCTTCAGGCATTTGGAAATTGCTCCCAAGGATGAACCAGACTTGTGGAGGTCTACCATTTTTTTTCCGAGGTCTTGGTTGATTTCTTTTGATTTTCCCATGATGTCAAGCAAAGAGGCACTGAGTATGAAGGTAGGCCTTGAAATACATCCACAGTTACACCTCCAATTGACTCAAATGATGTCAATTAGGCTATCAGAAGTTTCTAAAGCCATGACATCATTTTCTGGAATTTTCCAAGATGTTGAAAGGCACAGTCAACTTATATGTAAACTTCTGACCCACTGGAATTGTGATACAGTGAATTATAAGTGAAATAATCTGTCTGTAAACAATTGCTGGAAAAATTACTTGTGTCATGCCAAAACTATAGTTTGTTAACAAGAAATTTGTGGAGTGGTTGAAAAATGAGTTTTAATGACTGCAACCTAAGTGTATGTAAACTTCTCACTTCAACTGTATGTTATCAATATATTACATTTTACATTTTAGTCATTTAGCAGACGCTCTTATCCAGAGCGACTTACAGTTAAGTGAACGCATACATTTTTTTTTTCATACTGGCCCCCTGTGGGAAACGAACCCACAACCCTGGCGTTGCATATGCCATGCTCTACCAACTGAGCTACACACATATTAGTGTTTTATTTTCCATTACGTTTTTATAAATGTTAGAATTTTTCTTCCACTTTGACATTACAGAATATTTTGTGTAGATTATTTACAGAAAATTACAATTAAGTCAATTTTAATCAAGTCAAGGGGTGTAAATACTTTCTGAAGGCACTGTATATGACTTCAAATGATTGAGGTTAGAATTGGAATTGGGTAAACTGCTTCTATATGGATTTATGAGAAAGTGACCCCTGCTTACCTCTAAGAAGAAGCGAGGGCTTTCTGGCATGGTGGTTAGAGAAGCAATAGCCGCAACAGAGGGAAACGCACACACCAGGACGAACACACGCCAGCTGTGGAACTGGTACGCTGACCCCATCTGGAAACTCCAGCCTGGGAGGAGAGGAGCAAAGAGAGAGAAATGGGACGAAGCACAAACTGTAAACCTGCGTAATTCCTAGATACAACTTTGTAGTAAGGCATTTTGAGCGCTTTTGGGGCAATATCCGTGATGATTGAATTCCTGCCATAAGCTACTCACCATAGTGTGGGATGATGGCCCATGCCATGGCTGAGGCATAGATGCCACCAATCATCCAGAACATGCAGAGCCAACTGAGGTGCTCCCCACGTTTCTCCTGGGCCAGAAACTCTGAGTAGTAGGAAAACACAATGGGGATGGAACCACCGATCCTGCAAGGATTAGCACAGAGAAACAAACCACTGGAGGTTGAGCTGGACTTTCTATTCCTGTTCCCAGTTAATCTTTTTGGAAAATCTGTAAATGAAATCAAACTTGGGGAGAATACTTGGTGGTAGGAGTGCTACTTAGCTTCTGTGAGGATGCTCTTTGGATGAAAGGTCCTTCTTAGCATTAAAGCAAAACAAATCTATCTCTACTATATACAGTGGGGAGAACAAGTATTTGAGACACTGCCGATTTTGCAGGTTTTCCTACTTACAAAGCATGTAGAGGTCTGTGATTTTTATCATAGGTACACTTCAACTGTGAGAGACTGAATCTAAAACAAAAATCCAGAAAATCACATTGTATGATTTTTAAGTAATTAATTTGCATTTTATTGCATGACATAAGTATTTGATCACCTACCAACCAGTAAGAATTCCGGCTCTCACAGACCTGTTAGTTTTTCTTTAAGAAGCCTTCCTGTTCTCCACTCGTTACCTGTATTAACTGCAACCTGTTTGAACTCGTTACCTGTATAAAAGACACCTGTCCACACACTCAATCAAACAGACTCCAACCTCTCCACAATGGCCAAGACCAGAGAGCTGTGTAAGGACATCAGGGATAAAATTGTAGACCTGCACAAGGCTGGGATGGGCTACAGGACAATAGGCAAGCAGCTTGGTGAGAAGGCAACAACTGTTGGCACAATTATTAGAAAATGGAAGAAGTTCAAGATGACGGTCAATCACCCACGGTCTGGGGCTCCATGCAAGATCTCACCTCGTGGGGCATCAATGATCATGAGGAAGGTGAGGGATCAGCCCAGAACTACACGACAGGACCTGGTCAATGACCTGAAGAGAGCTGGGACCACAGTCTCAAAGAAAACCATTAGTAACACACTATGCCGTCATGGATTGAAATCCTGCAGCGCACGCAAGGTCCCCCTGCTCAAGCCAGCGCATGTCCAGGCCCGTCTGAAGTTTGCCAATGACCATCTGGATGATCCAGAGGAGGAATGGGAGAAGGTCATGTGGTCTGATGAGACAAAATTTGAGCTTTTTGGTCTAAACTCCACTCGCCGTGTTTGGAGGAAGAAGAAGGATGAGTACAACCCCAAGAACACCATCCCAACTGTGAAGCATGGAGGTGGAAACATCTTTCTTTGGGGATGCTTTTCTGCAAAGGGGACAGGACGACTGCACCGTATTGAGGGGAGGATGGATGGGGCCATGTATCGCGAGATCTTGGCCAACAACCTCCTTCCCTCAGTAAGAGCATTGAAGATGGGTCGTGGCTGGGTCTTCCAGCATGACAACGACCCGAAACACACAGCCAGGGCAACTAAGGAGTGGCTCCGTAAGAAGCATCTCAAGGTCCTGGAGTGGCCTAGCCAGTCTCCAGACCTGAACCCAATAGAACATCTTTGGAGGGAGCTGAAAGTCCGTATTGCCCAGCGACAGCCCCGAAACCTGAAGGATCTGGAGAAGGTCTGTATGTATCAAATAATTATGTCATGCAATAAAATGCAAATTAATTACTTAAAAATCATACAAAGTGATTTTCTGGATTTTTGTTTTAGATTCCGTATCTCACAGTTGAAGTGTACCTATGATAAAAATTACAGACCTCTACATGCTTTGTAAGTAGGAAAACCTGCAAAATCGGCAGTGTATCAAATACTTGTTCTATTTAGTCAGCCACCAATTGTGCAAGTTCTCCCACTTAAAAAGATGAGAGAGGCCTGTAATTTTCATCATAGGTACACGTCAACTATGACAGACAAATTGAGAGAAAAAAAAAACAGAAAATCACATTGTAGGATTTTTTATGAATTTATTTGCAAATTATGGTGGAAAATAAGTATTTGGTCACCTACAAACAAGCAAGATTTCTGGCTCTCACAGACCTGTAACTTCTTCTTTAAGAGGCTCCTCTGTCCTCCACTCGTTACCTGTATTAATGGCACCTGTTTGAACTTGTTATCAGTATAAAAGACACCTGTCCACAACCTCAAACAGTCACACTCCAAACTCCACTATGGCCAAGACCAAAGAGCTGTCAAAGGACACCAGAAACAAAATTGTAGACCTGCACCAGGCTGGGAAGACTGAATCTGCAATAGATAAGCAGCTTGGTTTGAAGAAATCAACTGTGGGAGCAATTATTAGGAAATGGAAGACATACAAGACCACTGATAATCTCCCTCGATCTGGGGCTCCACGCAAGATCTCACCCCGTGGAGTCAAAATGATCACAAGAACGGTGAGCAAAAATCCCAGAACCACACGGGGGGACCTAGTGAATGACCTGCAGAGAGCTGGGACCAAAGTAACAAAGCCTACCATCAGTAACATACTACGCCGCCAGGGACTCAAATCCTACGTGTCCCCCTGCTTAAGCCAGTACATGTCCAGGCCAATCTGAAGTTTGCTAGAGTGCATTTGGATGATCCAGAAGAGGATTGGGAGAATGTCATATGGTCAGATGAAACCAAAATATAACTTTTTGGTAAAAACTCAACTCGTCGTGTTTGGAGGACAGAGAATGCTGAGTTGCATCCAAAGAACACCATACCTACTGTGAAGCATGGGGGTGGAAACATCATGCTTTGGGGCTGTTTTTCTGCAAAGGGACCAGGACGACTGATCGGTGTAAAGGAAAGAATGAATGGGGCCATGTATCGTGAGATTTTGAGTGAAAACCTCCTTCCATCAGCAAGGGCATTGAAGATGAAACGTGGCTGGGTCTTTCAGCATGAAAATGATCCCAAACACACCGCCCGGGCAACGAAGGAGTGGCTTCGTAAGAAGCATTTCAAGGTCCTGGAGTGGCCTAGCCAGTCTCCAGATCTCAACCCCATAGAAAATCTTTGGAGGGAGTTGAAAGTCCGTGTTGCCCAGCGACAGCCCCAAAACATCACTGCTCTAGAGGAGATCTGCATGGAGGAATGGGCCAAAATACCAGCAACAGTGTGTGAAAACCTTGTGAAGACTTACAGAAAACGTTTGACCTGTGTCATTGCCAACAAAGGGTATATAACAAAGTATTGAGAAACTTTTGTTATTGACCAAATACTTATTTTCCACCATAATTTGCAAATAAATTCATTAAAAATCCTACAATGTGATTTTCTGGAGAAAAAAAATCTCATTTTGTCTGTCATAGTTGACGTGTACCTATGATGAAAATTACAGGCCTCTCTCATCTTTTTAAGTGGGAGAACTTGCACAATTGGTGGCTGACTAAATACTTTTTTCCCCCCACTGTATAAGAAAGCTTTTAAGCCCACCTGCGTCTGTGTGTCACTCTGTCTCTATCTATCATTCACCATCCATCGGTTTTCAGAATCTTACCCAACACCAGAAAGTAGTCGGCAGAAGAGAAAGGTGCTGTAACCCTGAACAAAGGAGGAGAAGAAGGAGAAGACGCTGTTGATGGAGAGGCAGATGAGAAGGGACTGCCGTCGGCCTATCCGATCAGCGAGCCCACCCCACACGAATGCACCGACCATCATTCCCAGATAAACAATCAGACCTGCAGAGGACAAAGAGAGACAATGAAAGAGATACATGTTTCGGTCATACTTCTGCATACAGCTGCTTTTATTTCTTACCCTTCGGCACAACATGAGGCACAAGAAAGATGATTTCGACACCCACCATCTCAGATTGTTCTGAAATAGTTTCTGTTGTTAAAAATTGACAATTTTAATTTATAGGACTGGCCATTTATAGGATTTATAGGATTCATATATTATTTAATAAATATAGTACCTAACATCCAATTTGGACCAAACTTTTTTCTAACAATGAGTTAGGCATGAGGAATCCAAAGAAATTGTCAAAAATTATATGTATCCTATAAATTACAATAGCCAATTTGGGTGCAATCAATTGGCTCTCAGAGATCAAATTACTGTACATTTCAACAAAACAACGTTGCAGGAATGCTAATCGGTTTCTAACAACAGAAACGATTTCAGAAAAATCTGAGATGGGACTTGTCATGGCTTGCTGAAATGACATGGACCGACCCACATGTTATTTGTTTTCGTATCGTCCCCGATGCGAATTAAAAGAATCCACGACGTTCTACAGTAAATCCCTTGCATCTTCAGACTTTGTTATCAAAACTCACATACTGTGCATTCGGAAAGTATTCAGACCCCTTCCCTTTTTCCACATTTTGTTACATTACAGCCTTATTCTAAAATTGATGAAATTTATTTTTTACACACAATACCCATAATGACAAAGCGAAAACAGGTTTTTAGATTTTTTTGCAAATTTACACTACCGGTCATTCAAGGGTTTTTCTTTTTTTTTCTTCTTTTTTTTCTACATTGAAGGATAATAGTGAAGACATCAAAACTGTGAAATAACACATATGGAATCATGTAGTAACCAAAAAAGTGTTAAACAAATCAAAATATATTTTATATTTGAGATTCTTCAAATAGGCCACCCTTTATCTTGATGACAGCTTTGCACACTCTTGGCATTCTCTCAACCAGCTTCATGAGGTAGTCACCTGGAATGCATTTCAATTAACAGGTGTGCCTTCTTAAAAGTTAATTTGTGGAATTTCTTTCCTTCTTAATGCGTTTGAGCCAATCAGTTGTGTTGTGACAAGGTAGGGGTGTATACAGAAGATAGCCCTATTTGGTAACAGACCAAGTCCATATTATGGCAAGAACAGCTCAAATAAGCAAAGAGAAATGACAGTCCATCATACTTTAGGACATGAAGGTCAGTCAATACGGAACATTTCAAGAACTTTGAACGTTTCTTCAAGTGCAGTCGCAAAAACTTTCAAGCGCTATGATGAAACTGGTTCTCATGACGACCACCACAGGAATGGAAGACCCAGAGTTACCTCTGCTGCAGAGGATAAGTTCATTAGAGTTACCAGCCTCAGAAATTGCAGCCCAAATAAATGCTTCACAGAGTTCAAGTAACAGACACATCTCAACATCAACTGTTCAGAGGAGACTGTGTGAATCAGGCCTTCATGGTCGAATTGCTGCAAAGAAACCACTACTAAAGGGCACCAATAAGAAGAAGAGACTTGCTTGGGCCAAGAAACACGAGCAATGGACATTAGACGGTCCAAATTTGAGATTTTTGGTTCCAACCGCCCTGTCTTTGTGAGACGCAGAGTAGGTGAACAGATGATCTCCGCAAGAAACATGAGCAATGGACATTAGAATGGTGGAAATGTGTCCTTTGGTCTGGAGTCCAAATTGGAGATTTTTGGTTCCAACCGCCGTGTCTTTGTGAGACGCGGTGAGGGTGAACGGATGATCTCCGCATGTGTATTTCCCACCGTAAAGCATGGAGGAGGAGGTGTTATGGTTTGGGGGTGCTTTGCTGGTAACACTTAACAAGCATGGCTACTACAGCATTATGCAGCGATACAACATCCCATCTGATTTGGGCTTAGTGGGACTATCATTTGTTTTTCAACAGGACAATGACCCAACACACCTCCAGGCTGTGTAAGGGCTATTTTACCAAGAAGGACAGTGATGGAGTGCTGCATCAGATGACCTGGCCTCCACAATCCCCCGACCTCAACCAAATTGAGATGGTTTGGGATGAGTCGGACCGCAGAGTGAAGGAACTCCTTCAAGACTGTTGGAAAAGCATTCCAGGTGAAGCTGGTTCAGATAATGCCAAGAGTGTGCAAAGCTGTCATCAAGGCAAAGGGTGGCTATTTGAAGAATCTCAAATATAAAATATATTTTGATTTGTTTAACACTGTTTTGGTTACTACATGTGTTATTTCATAGTTTTGATGTTTTCACTATTATTCCTCAATGTAGAAAATAGTACAAATAAAGAAAACTCTTGAATGAGTAGGTGTTCTAAAACTTTTGACCGGAAGTGTATAAAAAAACAAAAACAAAAATACCTTATTTACATAAGTATTTAGACCCTTTGCTATGAGACTCGAAATTGAGCTCAGGTGCATCCTGTTTCCATTGATCATCCTTGAGATGTTTCTACAACTTGTTTGGCGTCCACCTGTGGTAAATTCAATTGATTGGACATGATTTGGAAAGGCACACACCTGTCTATATAAGGTCCCACAGTTGACAGTGCATGTCAGAGCAAAAACCAAGCCATGAGGTTGAAGGAATTGTCCGTAGAGCTCCGAGACAGGATTGTGTCGAGGCACAGATCTGGGGAAGGGTATCAAAAAATGTCTGCAGCATTGAAGGTCCCCAAGAACACACTGTTGCCTCCATCATTCTTAAATGGAAGAAGTTTGGAACCACCAAGAACCCGATGGTCACTCTGACAGAGCTCCAGAGTTCCTCTGTGGAGATGGGAGAACCTTCCAGAAGGACAACCATCTCTGCAGCACTCCACCAATCAGGCCTTCATGGAAGAGTGGCCAGACAGAAGCCACTCCTCAGTAAAAGGCACATGACAGCCCGCTTGGAGTTTGCCAAAAGGCACCTAAAGGACTCTCAGACCATGAGAAACAAGATTATCTGGTCTGATGAAACCAACATTGAATTCTTTGGCCTGAATGCCAACCGTCACGTCTGGAGGAAACCTGGCACCATTCCTACGGTGAAGCATGGTGGTGGCAGCATCATGCTGTGGGGATGTTTTTCAGGGACTGGGAGACGAGTCAGGATCGAGGGGAAGATGAACGGAACAAAGTACAGCGAGATCCTTGATGAAAACCTGCTCCAGAGTGCTCAGGACCTCAGACTGGGTCAAAGGTTCACCTTCCAACAGGACAACGAACCTAAGCACACAGCCAAGACAATGCAGGAGTGGCTTCGGGACACGTCTCTGAATGTCCTTGAGTGGCCCAGCCAGAGCTCGGACTTGAACCCGATCTAACATCTCTGGAGAGACCTGAAAATAGATGTGCAACGATGCTCCCCATCTAATCTGACAGAGCTTGGGAGGATCTGCAGAGTAGAATGGGAGAAACTCCCCAAATACCGGTGTGCTAAGCTTGTAGCGTCATACCCAAGAAGACTCAATGCTGTAATCGCTGCCAAAGGTGCTTCAACAATGTACTGAGTAAAGGGTCTGAATACATATTTTAGTTTTTGTCTTTTTAATAAATTTGCTAAAATTTTGAAAAACCTGTTTTTGCTTCGTCATTATGGGGTATTGTGTGTAGATTGCTGAGGGAAAAAAACGATTTAATCAATTTTAGAATAAGGCTGTAACATAACAAAATGTGGAAAAAGTCAAGGGGTCTGAATACTTTCTGAATGCACTGTACATGACTGTCTTGCGATGTAAAAAAAAAAAAAAACAGGCAGGCAGGCACTGTCACACACTCACAAACAGACACACAAACGGGCAGATACACACAAACACACACAAACACACACAAACGTACACACCCACACCTAAACACAAAAAGCTCAAGGGTAGTGAAGGGGAGGTGTGGGATGGAGGAGGCTATTTATAGATGGTTTTCCCGTTTATGTGAGAATGAACTCTCTTTGTCAGTGAAAGACATAGGTAGCTAGCTATGGCTAGCCGGCTAATGTTTTTGTTTGAAAAATGCATCTGGACATATTACCAGCTTTTTTGTTTCACCTGGGTGCCAGTCTTCCGTAGAGGAATACAGCAGTGCTGAGGCAGGGGGCTTGTAGTGAGGACGACTGGCTACTATTCTGAACTTTGTGTGGTGAGCTTTTTGGCGCCCAGAGCACTGAGGCATCACCCAAGTGGTTGCTACACAGAGTGGAAGAGGAGATGTCCAGTGGCTATAAGACTCAGGCTGGTCCCCAGACTTGCCCTCTACAAGATCACCAGCAGACTACATCAACATCATTTACCATCCTCTGACCAGCTCCCTCCACTCAAGCCATGAACTGACCCTCTCCATCTTCAGAGGATGCAGCAAAGACTTGGCCTCTATTGGTTAACCTGTTATGATACTGCATATTGCTTGTTTGATTTTTGCTCTTGAAGCGCTTTGAGATAGAAGTTTAATCAATTATTATTATTATTATTATTATTATTATTATAGATGTGTCGGAGAGACAAGATCAATGCAAGCCACAGAACATATATTAGGCTCCCTATATTCAATCAAAACTAGTAACAATTGTTTTGCATGTTTTCCTCTATCATACTCTTTCAGCATAATAAAATGATGTTTATGTTTATCTCCTCAGAAAAATGGGTAGCCAATTTGGGCTTAGGTTGCTGTCTGCTTTGGGCCATTTCTGAGCCACAAGAAAGATTATAGGCACCTACAGTATAAAATATTCTAAAGATAGCACAAGAAAGAGAGATGGTAAGAGAATTAAAAGAGGGAGACCTGTTTCAGATGGTGTTGCACTCGAAGCACAACTGGCTGGATGCTGGCGGTACACTGGCATGAAATTCACAACTCAACACAAACACACAACACAATTCCTGAGTGGCGCAGTGGTCTAAGGCACTGCATCGCAGTGCTAACTGTGCCACTAGAGATCCTGGTTCGAATCCAGGCTCTGTCGCAGCCGGCCGCGACCGGGAGACTCATGGGCGGCGCACAATTGGCCCAGCGTCGTCTAGGGTAGGGGAGGGAACGGCCGGCAGGGATGTAGCTCAGTTGATAGAGCATGGTGTTTGCAACGCCATGGTTGTGGGTTCCATTCCCACGGGGGGCCAGTATAAAAAAATATATATATATGTAATCACTAACTGTAAGTCGCTCTGGATAAGAGCGTCTGCTAAATGACTTAAATGTAATGTAAATTTGATTTCACTGTAGTGTTTTTTTCTAGAAAATGATGTGGTGACAATGGGTACTTTTTTATTTTTGTAAGTTTGCACTAGTATCTACAGTACCTGGTTATTTCTGTGAATAAATTAAACACCAGGTCATTTCTGTATCATAAAATGAAGTGCTGCTAAGCAGACATTTGTGTAGCAGGTGCTGATGTCAATGGATGATTTGCATGAATAGGTTACTGAGTTACACATTCATCACTCTCCACAGGATCGGCAGAAAGCGGATGTTTCCAGTTTTCAGGTTTACAACCTAGACTCCGCTCAGGTGTCTTTTTACGCCTGCTACATTAGGTTACACATTCATAGACTGCACATTTTATTGTCTATCAAAGACATAAGATGTGAGGAATTTACCGTAGAACCGTTGAATTTGCATTGGGACCGATTAACCCACCCACATTTGACACTTGATTGGAGAAAAACAGTCTCCAACACTGTCCAAAACATTTAAGGGCTCACTAACCTAGCATGTAAATCAATCAAGTTAATGAAAAATACACAGTTTAAGGGTCACACTTACCCAACATGCCCTTGCTTTCCTCTGACAGACACATATCTTTCTCGGCGCTGGGGAGCACAAAGCCCACCACAAAGATCTCCACACCGTCCGCCATGAGGGCCAGCCCCAGCACAAAGTAGAGGGTCCACTGGAACTTCCCATGGCCACACTCCTGTAGGATGGTCTCATACTGCTGGGCTAGCTCTTCTTGGTCCTTCCGCCGCTCCCCCTCCAACTGTGCCATGTCCCTGAACTGCTGCACATCTTCCCCTGCTAGGCTGTCGGCAGCCTTGCTTGAGTCAGCGCGGGGAATTCCCTGGTATTCGCCCTCGTAGATCTCGTCGTCTTCATCGTGGCCCTCTGTGGAGTCGCTGTGGCCACCTTCATCGTCATTGGCTGCCTGGCTGTTGCCACGGTAGTAGCCACTGTCCTGCCCCCCAGGCACTCCAGGGTAGTCATCGTCATCGTCTTCCTCGAAGCGGGCGTAGGAGCGTTTGCTGTACTCGTCGGTCATCTTGTCCACACCGCGGCCCACTTTCTTGGCTGCCTGGCGCTTGACCTCCTTGGCAATGTCTTTGGCGCCCTTTATAAAGGCTGTCTTGTTCTGATAGCCGTCCTCCATTATTGAAGGGTTGAGGAATCTCAAAGGCAGGGGTTTATCACCTGAAAAGCAGGATAGAGCTCAGGAATCTCTGGACAGTGTTTGTTAGGCAGCGTTCCAGTTTACCCTCAATAGGGTGGTGGAGAGTTGAGCTGGATTGGATCACAGGGCCCGCTCTGTGATGGACAGATCCTCTACAGAGGGCAAGCGCAAACACATTGTTAGTCACATGGACCAAACTTTAGAATCAGGGTTGGGATCAATATAATTGTAAACAAATACTGTATAGCTTCAAAACATGTTTAAAACCACAATAATGGTCTAATGCAGTCCTTGCATCCATAGCTTCATCCCTCAGCTGTTTATCAAAACAAGTGGCGGGGTGAAAATTTGTGGTTTTTAGAATCCCCGATTGCCCCTTTAAGTAACATTCTATCTCTATAATGCTCATTATGAGTAAGCCCAGTGCCTGTTACTGTTGCTAGGGGAAGCGTATTTCTAAGCAATTGCGAAGGAGCATCTTATCTCAATTTGCTCTCTCTGTAAACTGATTAGGAATGGCTTACTGTTCGATGTTGACATATTGTGTCTTGTGTCCATCTGATAACAACTCAACACCAGGGAAAGTATAGCAGGGACAAACTGAGAAGAGTAGCAACTATTCCTAGTGGACTGGATTCATGGAGAAGTCAAAAACATACTTTTCCCCAAACAAATGGAAAATACATTTGAAATAATATAAAGTAAGTGTATGAGTCCAAGTGTGCATTATTGCTGTGCACAAATAATGTTGCTTTTGACTTATACTGCTTTATTTGAAAATGGCCTCTCTCGCATGTTAGAAGGAGAGCCCAAGGACTGTGGGCTCTCCTTCTCCGTGGCCGACGTGAGTAAGACATTTAAATGTGTTAACCCTCGCAAGGCTGCCGGCCCAGACGGCATTCCTAGCCACGTCCTCAGAGCATGCGCAGACCAGCTGGCTGGTGTGTTTACGGACATATTCAATCTCTCCCTATTCCAGTCTGCTGTCCCCACATGCTTCAAGATGGCCACCATTGTTCCTGTACCCAAGAATGCAAAGGTAACTGAACTAAATGACTATCGCCCCGTAGCACTCAGTTCTGTCATCATGAAGTGCTTTGAGAGACTAGTCAAGGATCATATCACCTCCACCTTACCTGTCACCCTAGACCCACTTCAATTTGCATACCGCCCCAATAGGTCCACAGACGATGCAATTGCCATCACACTGCCCTATCCCATCTGGACAAGAGGAATACCTATGTAAGAATGATGTTCATTGACTATAGCTCAGCATTCAACACCATAGTACCCTCCAAGCTCATCATCAAGCTTGAGTCCCTGGGTCTCAACCCCGCCCTGTGCAATTGGGTCCTGGACTTCCTGACGGGCCGCCCCCAGGTGGTGAAGGTAGAAAACAACATCTCCACTTTGCTGATCCTCAACACTGGGGCCCCACAAGGGTGTGTGCTCAGCCCCCTCCTGTACTCCCTGTTCAACCATGACTGCGTAGCCATGCACGCCTCCAACTCAATCATCAAGTTTGCAGACGACACAACAGTAGTAGGCTTGATTACCAACAATTATGAGACAGCCTACAGGGAGGAGGTGAGGGCTCTCGGAGTGTGGTGTCAGAAAAATAACCTCTCACTCAACGTCAAAAAAAAAAGGAGATGATCGTGTACTTCAGGAAACAGCAGAGGGAGTACCCCCATATCCACATCGAGGGGACAGCAGTGGAGAAGGTGGAAAGTTTTAAGTTCCTCGGCATACATTTCACTGACAAACTGAAATGGTCCACCCACACAGACAGTGTGGTGAAGAAGGCGCAACATCGTCTCTTCAACCTCAGGAGGCTGAAGAAATTTGGCCTGTCACCTAAAACCCTCACATACTTTTACAGATGCACAATTGAGAGTATCCTGTCGGGCTGTATCACCGCCTGGTACGGCAACTGCACAGCCCACAACTGCAGGGCTCTCCAGAGTGTGGTGCGGTCTGCCCAATGCATTACCGGGGGCAAACTACCTGCCCTCCAGGACACCTACAGCACCCGATGTCACAGGAAGGCCAAAAAGATAATCAAGGACAACTACCACCCGAGCCACTGCCTGTTCACCCCGCTATCATCCAGAAGGCGAGGACAGTACAGGTGCATCAAAGCTGGGACTGAGAGACTGAAAAACAGCTTCTATCTCAAGGCCATCAGACTGTTAAATAGCCATCACTAGCACAGAGAGGCTGCTGCCTACATATAGACTTGAAAATCACTGGCCACTTTAATAAATGGAACACTAGTCACTTTAATAATGCCACTTTAATGTTTACATATCTTGCATTACCCATCTCATATGTATATACTGTATTCTATCCTATCTATTGCATCTTAGACTATGCCACTCTGATAATGATAATGACATTGCTCATCCATATACAGTATTTATATATTCTTATTCCATTCCTTTACTTAGATTTGTGTGTATTAGGTTTTTGTTGTAGAACTGTTAGATATTACTTGCTAGATATTGCTTAACTGTTGGAACTAGAAGCGCAAGCATTTCGCTACACTCGCAATAACATCTGCTAACCACGTCTATGTGACCATTACATTTGATTTGATTTGATGTTAAGATGCAGAACTGACCATAATGAAGTTTACATGCACTTAGGTTGGAGTCATTAAAACTCGTTTTTCAACCACTCCACAAATTTCTTGTTAACAAACTATAGTTTTGGGAAGTCGGTTAGGACATCTACTTTGTGCATGACACAAGTAATTTTTCCAACAATTGTTTACAGACAGATTATTTCACTTATAATTCACTGTATCACAATTCCAGTGGGTCAGAGGTTTACATACACTAAGTTGACTGTGCCTTTCACAGCTTGGAAAATTCCGGAAAATGATGTCATGGCTTTAGAAACTTCTGATAGCCTAATTGATATCGTTTGAGTCAATTGGAGGTGTACCTGTGGATATATTTCAAGGCCTACCTTCAAACTCAGTGCCTCTTTGCTTGACATCATGGGAAAATCAAAAGAAATCAGCCAAGACCTCAGAAAAAATGTGTATACCTCCACAAGTCTGGTTCATCCTTGGGAGCAATTTCCAAATGCCTGAAGCTACCACGTTCATCTATACAAACAATAGTACGCAAGTGTTCTGTCTCCTAGAGATGAATGTACTTTGGTGCGAAAAGTGCAAATAAATCCCAGAACAACAGCAAAGGACCTTGTGAAGATGCTGGAGGAAACAGGTACAAAAGTATCTATATCCACAATAAAATGAGTCCTATATCGACATAACCTGAAAGGCCGCTCAGCAAGGAAGAAGCCACTGCTCCAAATCCGCCATAAAAAAGCTATAGACTACGGTTTGCAACTGCACATGGGGACAAAGATCGTACTTTTTTGAGAAATGTCCTCTGGTCTGATGAAACAAAAAATAACTGTTTGGCCATAATGACCATTGTTATGTTTGGAGGAAAAAGGGGAAGGCTTGCAAGCCGTAGAACACCATACCAACCATGAAGCACATGGGTGGCAGCATCATGCTGTGGGGTGCTTTGCTGCAGGAGGGACTGACAAAATAGATGGCATCATGAGGAAGGAAAATTATGTGGATATATTGAAGCAACATCTCAAGACATCAGTCAGGAAGTTAAAGCTTGGTCGCAAATGGGTCTTCCAAATGGACAATGACCGCAAGCATACTTCCAAAGTTGTGGCAAAATGGCTTAAGGACAACAAAGTCAAGGTATTGGAGTGGCCATCACAAAGCCCTGACCCCAATCCTAAAGAACATTTGTGGGCAGAACTGAAAAAGTGTGTGAGAGCAAGGAGGCCTACAAACCTGACTCAGTTACACCAGCTCTGTCAGGAGGAATGGGCCAAAATTCACCCAACTTATTGTGGGAAGCTTGTGGAAGGCTACCCGAAACGTTTGACCCAAATTAAACAATTGAGTGTATGTGAACTTCTGACCCACTGGGAATGTGATGAAAGAAATAAAAGCTGAAATAAATCATTCTCTTTACTATTATTCTGACATTTCACAATCTTAAAATAAAGTGGTGATCCTAACTGACCTAAGACGGAATTTTTACTAGGATTAAATGTCAGGAATTGTGAAAAATTGAGTTTAAATGTATTTGGCCTAAGGTGTATGTAAACTTCCGACTTCAACTGTACTATATGCACTGGGAGCCAGGTTCCTGTCCCCCAAAAACCTGACTACAGCAAAGTCAGATTTAAAATGGTGGCCACCATTAAAGCTGGGAATATTTTTGATACAATCAACATCACCGATAACAATATTGTTTGGGAGCCATTTATCTACAGTGCCTTCAGAAAGTATTCACACCCTTTGACTTTTCCACATTTTGTTGTGTTACAAAATGGGATTAAATTGGATTCAATTGTAATTGTTTTCAACAAGCTACACAAAATAATCTGTAATGTCAAAGTGGAAGAAAATTTCTAACATTTGTAAAAATAAAATAGAAAACACAAATATATCTTGATTTCATAAATATTCAACCCCTTGAGACAATACATGTTACAATCACCTTTGGCAGCGATTACAGCTGTGAGTCTTTCTGGGAAAGTCTCTAAGTGCTTTTCACAACTAGAATGTACAATTTTTGCACATTATTCTTAAAAAAAGTATTCAAGCTCTGTCAAGTTGGTTGTTGATCATTGCTAGACAGACATTTTCAAGTCTTGCCATAGATTTTCAAGTCAAAACTGTAACATGGCCACTCAGGAACATTCAATGTCGTCTTGGTAAGCAACTCCAGTGTATATTTGGCCTTGTGTTTTAGGTTATTGTCCTGCTGAAAGGTGAATTTGTCTCCCAGTGTCTGTTGGAAAGCAGACTAAAATAGGTTTTCCTCTAGGTTTTTCCTGTGCTTAGCTCAATTCCGTTGCCGATGACAAGCATACCCATAACATGATGTAGCCACCACCATGCTTGAAAATATGAAGAGTGGTACTCAGTGATGTGTTGGATTTGCCCCAAACATAATGCTTTGTATTCAGGACACACAGTTAATTTCTTTGCCACATGTTCAATGTTGTTGATCCATACTCAGTTTTCTCCTATCACAGCCATTAAACTCTGTAACTGTCTTTGTAGCGACTTTGTTGTCATCCAAAGTTTCATTAATAACTTCACCATGCTCAAAGGGAAATTCAATGTTGTTGTTTTTTATCTACCAATAGGTGCCCTTCTTTGCGAGGCATTGGAAAACCTCCCTGGTCGTTGTGGTTGAAACTGTGTTTGAAATTCACTGCTCGACTGTGGGACCTTACAGAAAATTGTATGTGTGGGGTACAGAGATGAGGTAGTAATTCAAAAAATCATTTAAAACATTATTATTGCACACAGATTGAGTCAATGCAACTTATTATGTGATTGTAAAGCACATTTTTCACTCCTGAACTTATTTAGGCTTGCCATAACAAAGGGGTTGAATACTTATTGACTCAAGACATTTCAGGTTTTCATTTTTAAATTTAAATGTACCTCCACCTTGACATTATGGGGTATTGTGTGTAGGCCAGTGACACAAAATCTCAACATCATCTATTTTAAATTCTGGCTGTAACACAACAAAATGTGGAAAAAGTCAAGGGGTGTGAATACTTTCTGCACTGTATGTCTGCCTATTACAGCCGTAAACCTGCAATGGTCTCTTTCTGTAATGTGAAACAAATGAATATAGAATATATTACTATATTTTGTAAGACAGTGATGAAGAGATGTGTTGATAGAAGAATTTCTATATTTAACATTATCAAATGGGTGGGTCAAAATGTAACTGCGCTTCAATTCAATGTTTCGAACTGACTGCCCAGAGGGATGGGCTGTTTGGGAGGTCGAGATTGTGAGCAGATGGGAGGGGGGAGAGAAACATAGAGAGAGATAGTGAGGGGAAGGGAGGGGGAGAGAAACATAGAGAGAGATAGTGAGGGGAAGGGAGGGGGGAGAGAAACATAGAGAGATAGTGAGGGGAAGGGAGGGGGGAGAGAAACATAGAGAGATAGTGAGGGGAAGGGAGGGGGGAGAAAAACAGAGAGAGATAGTGAAGGGAAGGGAGGGGGAGAGAAACATAAAGAGAGATAGTGAGGGGAAGGGAGGGGGGAGAGAAACATAGAGAGAGATAGTGAGGGGAAGGGAGGGGGGAGAAAAACATAGAGAGAGATAGTGAAGGGAAGGGAGGGGGAGAGAAACATAAAGAGAGATAGTGATGGGAAGGGAGGGGGGAGAGAAACATAGAGAGAGATAGTGAGGGGAAGGGAGGGGGGAGAAAAACATAGAGAGATAGTGAGGGGAAGGGAGGGGGGAGAGAAACATAGAGAGAGATAGTGAGGGGAAGGGAGGGGGGAGAGAAACATAGAGAAAGATAGTGAGGGGAAGGGAGGGGGAGAGAAAATAGAAAGAGATAGTGAGGGGAAGGGAGGAAGCAAAGGAAGTGATAAAGGACAAGATACAATGCACAGACAGAATGGAATAAAGAAATTGAGAAAAGGGGAGATAGAAATTGAGAGAGAGAGAGAGAGAGAGAGAGAGGAGAGAGAGAGAGAGAGCGCATTCTTCAGGGTGGCACACAAAATGATTAAAGGGCCACTAGACTAAAAGGTGCCTGCCAAAAGCAGCAAGAGTGAGGAGGAAATTGGGTACATTCCCTGTACATTTTTTTTTAACACTGTCGCCACACATTCTGAGCCGTAAATACACACACCAGATATGCTATCTTTTAGTCAGTAACCTGTCCACACGGTTACACATGTGGGGTCAGAGATAGGGATAAGACTCACTTTAACACATATTGGTCCTAAAATGCAAAACTCGTCCTCCTGGCATCCCAGTATTTTACTCTAGTGATTCCCTCACAACATAGAACAATCTCAATGGACGCACTGGGGTGCCATCCAACTTCAGGGTGCTAGCCCTGACCAGGACCTGAACCAGAGGCCCTGCGACTGTCAGCCCAACAGTCCAACGTCCCCTAGGCTATAAGGTGGTTGTTGAGGCAATAGCTACTCTGAGCAGTAGAGGGCTTGGTGTGAAATGAAACCCATTTCATTTCACAGGCCTGTCCATAAGTTGGAGAATTCTGCATTTTTCAAACACCTGAAAGAGCATTTTCCTGCAATTTAGAGCCATAATCATTATGCTTAATTCTATGTACAAAAAAATATGTATAGTTTTCTGCATATCTAAGCATAACTAGTGGTTCTTTAAAAAAATAAAATAATAAATACAGTGGGGAAAAAACTATTTAGTCAGCCACCAATTGTGCAAGTTCTCCCACTTAAAAAGATGAGAGAGGCCTGTAATTTTCATCATAGGTACATGTCAACTATGACAGACAAATTGAGAAAAAAAAATCCAGAAAATCACATTGTAGGATTTTTAATGAATTTATTTGCAAATTATGGTGGAAAATAAGTATTTGGTCACCTACAAACAAGCAAGATTTCTGGCTCTCACAGACCTGTAACTTCTTATTTAAGAGGCTCCTCTGTCCTCCACTCGTTACCTGTATTAATGGCACCTGTTTGAACTTGTTATCAGTATAAAAGACACCTGTCCACAACCTCAAACAGTCACACTCCAAACTCCACTATGGCCAAGACCAAAGAGCTGTCAAAGGACACCAGAAACAAAATTGTAGACCTGCACCAGGCTGGGAAGACTGAATCTGCAATAGGTAAGCAACTGTGGGAGCAATTATTAGGAAATGGAAGACATACAAGACCACTGATAATCTCCCTCGATCTGGGGCTCCACGCAAGATCTCACCCCGTGGGGTCAAAATGATCACAAGAACAGTCCCAGAACCACACGGGGGGACCTAGTGAATGACCTGCAGAGAGCTGGGACCAAAGGAACAAAGCCTACCATCAGTAACACACTACGCCGCCAGGGACTCAAATCCTGCAGTGCCCCCTGCTTAAGCCAGTACATGTCCAGGCCCGTCTGAAGTTTGCTAGAGTGCATTTGGATGATCCAGAAGAGGATTGGGAGAATGTCATATGGTCAGATGAAACCAAAATATAACTTTTTGGTAAAAACTCAACTCGTCGTGTTTGGGGACAGAGAATGCTGAGTTGCATCCAAAGAACACCATACCTACTGTGAAGCATGGGGGTGGAAACATCATGCTTTGGGGCTGTTTTTCTGCAAAGGGACCAGGACGACTGATCGGTGTAAAGGAAAGAATGAATGGGGCCATGTATCGTGAGATTTTGAGTGAAAACCTCCTTCCATCAGCAAGGGCATTGAAGATGAAACGTGGCTGGGTCTTTCAGCATGACAATGATCCCAAACACAACGCCCGGGCAACGAAGGAGTGGCTTCGTAAGAAGCATTTCAAGGTCCTGGAGTGGCCTAGCCAGTCTCCAGATCTCAACCCCATAGAAAATCTTTGGAGGGAGTTGAAAGTCCGTGTTGCCCAGCGACAGGCCCAAAACATCACTGCTCTAGAGATCTGCATGGAGGAATGGGCCAAAATACCAGCAACAGTGTGTGAAAACCTTGTGAAGACTTACAGAAAACGTTTGACCTGTGTCATTGCCAACAAAGGGTATATAACAAAGTATTGAGAAACTTCTGTTATTGACCAAATACTTATTTTCCACCATAATTTGCAAATAAATTCATAAAAAATCCTACAATGTGATTTTCTGGATTTTTTTTCCTCATTTTGTCTGTCATAGTTCACGTATACCTATGATGAAAATTACAGGCCTCTCTCATCTTTTTAAGTGGGAGAACTTGCACAATTGGTGGCTGACTAAATACTTTTTTTCCCCACTGTATGCTTCTCTGCACCTCTGCTAAAATATGGGTAAAAGATTGAAAGCAATGTGAGTCTTTTTCAGTACATTTAATGATTGCTTGCTTTTCTGCAGGCATGTTTATTTTAACAGTTAAGGAAATATGTATTTGTTAAGGGCAATAGTAAACCCGTTGCGCAACAGCAACAAATGGCGCCAGTCTGAGACAAGGTCGTTATAGATGGAGGCAAAGCATGATCATTTATTGTCTTGCAAAAAGTAGCTCGGCTTTCATTCGACCTCAATATGATGGTCAATCGTTGTGAGATCTTTGCAAGATCACGTGTTAGTTTATTATGTCAGAAATGGTCTGCCAATAACATGCATTACTGACGGTTGGCATTCAGTCGACATAGAATCCCCCTTTAAGAACCTGAAGATGACACATAGCCTAGTTACCATCCCCCTCGCAAACACAATCATGATGAATCGCCTACGTGAAGGACGATGGCAAAATTACAACACATTTCTCCATTCAGGCGCGATATGACTGCGAAATGAGGATAGTATGCTACCGGTAATATATTTTATTTCGGATTAGCCTATAATTAAAGATTTAACGTAGTGCAACAAGACCAGCGCGCATTTTACAACTGACCTAAATCAATTAGCTTAATTGTTTAATTAATTATCTAAATGCAATATTCAAACATATTTCCGATAATACAAACGATTTAAACCCGAACGTAGTTCCAATCTCTTCATTTGAAGAGACATTGAATTGTCGTGACTGCGTTTTTACGCAGGGATGCCTTTGATATCATGTTCGATAGAAAGGGTTACTGTCATGTTAAATAGGCTACAATAACTATTCACAATTCGAGTCTGTATTGAGTCTGCATCGACCTGCATAGTCGCATAAATAGATTACATTTAGGCTACATTTCAATAAAACACGAGATGATTTTCACATCCTAAATCGTGGCCAGTGGGCAAGATATTTTGGGAAGCACGCACATCCACATTCGTATATCAACGGTCGGCCTATGTAGCCTAATTATAACTAATTTGCCGAGTTTAATTTTAGTAAAGGTAACAGCATTATCTCACCTTAATTATGGATATGGGTTTCACTATATCCCCAGCTTGAATTTTGTCAACAGGATGACAGTGCGTTGATGCTGCTGCTGCTCAAACGTGGATAGGCTCCCGGTAACCCAACTGACTGAAGAGGAAGCGTGATGCGAGAACCAAGAGGTACCACCTCAGTGGGTACCACAAGTAGCATCGTAGATCCCCTCCCCCCCATCTCACTGGTACTCGGCAGAAATATACCATTCACGCACCTTGTCACGGTCTATCTTATTGACTCTCTTATTGGTTCTCAAGTGAATCATTTATCTTAACCCGTATTTCAAACAATTTGTAAGTATTAAACATCCATTTTGCTTTCGCATTAAATGTTGCCCACCACACTCTCTCATCATCACACACACACAATACTATTCGAATCATGTGTAGGCCTGCATGTGAAAGCAAGCAACCATGATGTGTAGCATATTGATATTTATCAAGATGATGGTATGTTTATGTTTCAAATCGATTAAACCTAGAATAGTATAAAGTAATCCTTCTTACCCCCCCCCCCCATAAAAAAAAGAAGAAAAAAAGTGGTTGTCCCACTGGCTATCATAAGTTGAATGCACCAATTTGTAAGTCGCTCTGGATAAGAGCGTCTGCTAAATTATGTAAATGTCAATGTAAAATTAATGTATCTTAGGCTTTAGCTGTATTAGGTCTACATACCCTGAATGAAAATATTTATCTTTACCACTCACGCAAACGTGTAGGCCTATAGCCTATAATAGGCATTGACTCTCTTTCAGTGATACACTTAAGTTACCAAATGTTTTATTACTCTGCTCCAATTCAAAGTTAGAATAGAACAGCTTAAATATAATTAGTTGTATGTATTTTTAATCGTTGGAATATGACTAATAGTAGCCCCTAATCAACAGGCATAAGAGGTCGCTGAAACAATATTTTCCATGTAACTGGACATATTCCATGTAACTGAATATCAAAATGCCAACCCCATATTTCTCTCTCTCTCTCTCTCTCTCTCTCTCTCTCTCTCTCTCTCTCTCTCTCACACACACACACACACACACACACACACACACCTGCCCCTGTTTCTCTGCCAACCACTGGCCCATCCCACATAGTGACATCATAGGACCAGATGCTGTGGAAACCAGTGAGCTTAATTGACTACTCATGAATTGCCTGCCCAGCTCAGTTATGCAGAAAATATCAGTTATTCTAGCTCTATGAAAATTGCTAACTCTTATTTTAAAGGGGGGTTTAATTAACCAATCAAACAATAGGATTATTAGCCTCTTTGTTTGCACTCATTAATCAGTCATTATCAGTGGTGTAAAGTACTTAAGTAAAAATACTTGAAAGTACTACTTAAGTTGTTTTTTGGGTATCTGTACTTTACTTTACTATTTATATTTTTGACAACTTTTACTTCACTACATTCCTAAAGAAAATTATGTACTTACATTTTTTTTTACATTTTCCCTGACACCCAAAAGTACTTTTGAATGCTTAGCAGGATAGGAAAATTGTCTAATTCACACACTTATCAAGAGAACATCCCTGGTCATCCCTACTGCCTCTGATTTGGCGGACTCACTAAACACATGCTTCGTTTGTATAGGGTGAACGCACCAATTTGTGAGTCGCTCTGGCTAAGAGCGTCTGCTAAATGACGTTAATGTGCCCTTGAGCAAGGCACTTAACCCTAATTGCTCCTGTAAGTCGCTCTGGATAAGAGCGTCTGCTAAATGACTAAAATGTAAAATGTAATGTAAATGTTTGTAAATTATGTCTGAGTGTTGGACCATGGCTATCTGTAAATTAAAAAAAAACAAGAAAATGATGCCATCTGGTTTGCTTTATATAAGGAATTTTAAATGATTTATACTTTTACTTTTGATACTTAAGTATATTTTAGCAATTACATTTACTTTTTATACTTAAGTATATTTAAAACCAAATACTTTTAGACTTTTACTCAAGTAGTATTTTACTGGGTGACTTTCACTTTTACTTGAGTCATTTTCTATTTATGTATCTTTACGTTTACTCAAGTATGAAAATTGGGTACTTTTTCCACCACTGGAAAGAGACCTGCTTAATAATAGTGAGTAAAATAAGTACCCTTCATAATGTAAGGGAACATTATACACCTAAAAGAACAGAGAAACACTATTTTCACACCACTCCGATACAGCTATGACCGGAAGTTACTTTTTCGTAGCAGGTTAGGAGAATTTACGTAGCAGGTTAGGAGACTGAGGTTAAGGTTAGGAAAAGGGTTAGCGAAAATGCTCTCCTAACCTACTACGTACGAAAATCACTTCCGGTCGTAGCTGTATCGAAGTGGCATGAAAAGAGACCCAGATAGCACGGAACCGGAAGTGACGCCTAGATTTTCACAGCCCAGAGAAATTTTACATGACAGCCTTGTTTTCGTGTTGTTGACCTAGGTCTGGGCTGACACACTCAATATCCTGTCTGCATGGTCAAGTTAGGTTGGGTCCAGCCACAATTAACTAATTCTCAAGACCCATTTTCAGCCGCTTTCAGTCCCCGTTTTCAGCTGGCACTTGGCGGCATTAACCAATTTTAAATATAACTTCAAGAATCAATATCAATCATTTAAATGATCAAAAATGGCTTAAAATATCAGTGGGATTATGCAGCCCTATACATCCTCCTCCATAACCCACTACTTCAGACAAGTGGTATCTGCCATAACAATGGCAACAGACCGAGTGAGTGCCTCATTCAACATGGACGCAGCACAAGCATGAAAAAATATTTTTTCTAGTTTGGAAGCAAGTGCAGAATTAGTATTTGGAATCCACCCATGGCTTTCTCTCAAGGCACTGCCTAACATTGTATTTAGGGGGTTTATAAAAAACACTTCGTTTATATAGGTGAAGAGGTTTTAGTTTCTATTAGGTCTGGAACCTATCAACTTACGTGTGCTTTGTATGGTCAAAACATAACCCTCCCATTCATCTTGTCATTATGGACATGCCTCACCTTCTCTCCTGGCTACCAATGGTCTCAAACGACTGACATTGTGATCACATTTATAGTTTCTAACCTATTCAGGGGACCAACTACATTTTGTGTCTGTTATATTTGTACCAGGGAAGCAGTTGATTGATATGATGCATGTTCTGAATTAAATCTCATCTGAAAGAACTGAAATCAATTGAAAGACCCAATTTGTTGTATTAAAACCTTTATTCCTTGCAGGTTCAGGATCTGTACAGTAAAGAAGAAAAAAACATACAAAAAAATGGAGTTACACCATGTCTCCAAATTGTAATCTGGAATAGAAATAAAAAACGCTAAATGAAAGCATGGTCATGCGCCTTGCTGTGGTCCTCCGTAGTCTATGGGGGCATTGGTCCTCTCATGGGGCCTCGAGGTGGGCCGCCGGGGGGCCTCGGTGGCATTGGAGGCCCCCTCTGGAAACCAAACGGAGGTGGACGAGGGGGACCCCCACCGTAGCCTGGTGGGGGCATGGGAGGAGGGGGTCCTCTCATACCTGGATGCATGGGGTGACCTGTGTGGATGGGGAGAGAGAGAGAGGGGATTGACACAATGATATATAATCTCAGAGCAGCACATTTCAACAAGGATATTAGAAAACAAAGCACTTGGATATCCATACAATTAATTAATTTCTTTATTGTGTCCCTTTAGATAGATTTGTCAAAATGTTTTGAAGCTATACAGTGTTTGTTTACAAATACATACATTTAGTAAAAGTCCAAAATGGATGTACCAATTGCTGACTGTAGCTTTAAACGTTAAGAAACAGAATAGTAGCGAAACCAAAAGTGATTAATTGTTTTGCATGAATCAGGAGTCAACTAAGAGGCAATTATCCAACTGATGGGAGATTTCAACTCCTATCAGTTGAAATATATTAGCTGACCCCTAGCCTTGTGAAGGCACAGCACTCACCCATGGGATGCCCATAGGGCCCTCTCGGTGGCATGCCCATGTGTGGATGAGGGGGCATGCCAGGGGGTGGAGGTGCCCGGTGCTGGTTGGATCCTGGGGGGCCCGGTGGAGGCACCATACCTGGGGGATGGCCATGAGGATGCATGGGCATCTGGGACATTCCTGTTGGATATGAACAATATAATTGGTGGTAGAGCATGGCGCTTGCAACACCAGTATAGTGAGTTTGATTCCCGGGAACACCCATACGTAAAATGTATGCAAGCATGACTAAGTCCCTTTGGATAAAAGAGTCTGCTAAATGGCATATATTAATGCACCTCATAGCACACAATAGGCTCTCTTCCTTTAACCAGAAGTAGCACTAACTTCCACACACTACAATTTCTAAATGTAACAATCTGAGAAAGCGTTTCCTGACAGTTGTCCTCATTCCAATTATATGGCTGTGGTGAGTGACTTACCCGGGTGCATGCCCTGGTGGAAGGGTGGTGGGCCAGGTGGGGGGCCTGAGCCCCCTCCCTGGGGTCCTGGTGTCCCTGGGGCTGGGGGCATGCCAGGGGGCATACCAGGGGGCATGGATCCGGGGGGTGGCACAGGAGGGAAGGCACCAGGAGGGGGCATGCCTGGAAATGAAGATCAGAGAAAGAGAGAGAAATTGCACATTAAAAAAAAAGTTGAATTGAAATGATCTTGATGTAGATGTTGTGTTACTGAAGTTTTTAGTCAAGTTATTGTGAAGCCAACATAAAACCTTCACATTGTGAGGAAAATCTAGTTTTTGTCATTCTTACTCTTACAAATCTACGGAGCACAATCTATGGCTAAGCTATACAAGGCAAATAGGATTACTATCTAAGTACCACCACGAAATACCCGAAGTGTTTCAGAAGCTGAAATAAAATTCTCAAACCCTGGTGCACCCACTTGTGCACACACACACACACACACACTTACCAGGCATGGGCATCCCGACTCCCAGGGTGGTGAGGACAGGGGTCGAGGCAGAGAGGGGTGGCGGTGCATCTGCGAATAGCTGATGCGGCCGATCGGCCTGCGAAAGCGGGTTCTGAGCAGCTAGGAGGCGTTCAGCGGCCGAGCCGTGCCGCTCACCCTTGGAGTCCTTCTTGAAGGCGTATGACACCGTAATGGGTCGGTTGCACAGGTACTGGCCGTTCATGGCCTCGATGGCTGCGTCAGAGGCGTCGAAACTGGCAAAGTTGATGAAGGCGTAGCCCTTGGAGTTGCCAGTGTCCGGGTCGCGCATGATCTTGGGCGTCTGCAGTATGACCCCAAAGGCGCTGAACGTGTCGTAGAGGAGTTTCTCGTCGATCTCCGGGTCTAGGTTACCGATGAAGATGTTGGCGCCCACATCCAGGTTCTTGTTGTGCGCTGAGGCCTTGTTGACACGGATGGGCTTACCGTATAGTTTAATCATGTTCATAATCTTGATGGCATAGTCCGCATCCTCTTCACTGAGGAACTCAACAAAGCCATAGCCTTACGGAGGGGGGTCGGGGGGAGACAGAGGGAAGAATAACATTCAATAAGACTTTCATTGTTATCTTTCTGATCAGCATTATTGACAAGCTATTTGTCGCTAAAGGAGTCTCCAAAAATCACGTGACATCAAGTGTTGGGTTTGCTTTCATAGCATAGACCTATTCAATCCAATACCCTTCATACACTGAACAAAAATATAAAGTGTTGGTCCCATGTTTTATGAGCTGAAATAAAAGATCTCAGAACTTCTCCCTATGCCAAATAGCTTATTTCTCTAATGCTGTGCACAAATTTGTTTACATCCCTGTTTGCCAAGATAATCCATCCAACTGACAGGTGTTGAATTTCAAGAAGCTGATTAAACAGCATGATCATTACACAGGTGCATCTTGTGCTGGGAACAATAAAAGGCCACTCTAAAATGTGCAGTTTTGTCACCAGAGCTGTTGCCAAATAACTGACTGTTAATTTCTCTACCATAAGCCGCCTTTGTCGTTTTAAGAGAATTTGGCAGTATGTCCAACCGGCCTCACAACCGCAGACCACGTCTAACCACGCCAGCACAGGACCTCCACATCCCCTTCACCTGCGGCATCATCTGAGACCAGCCACCGGGACAGCTGATGAAACTGGGGGTTTGCACAACCAAATAATTTCTGCACAAGCTGTCAGAAACCGTCTCAGGGAAGCTCATCTGTGTGCTCGTCATCCTCACCAGGGTCTTGACCTGACTGCAGTTTGGCGTCGTAACCGACTTTAGTGGGGAAATGCTCACTTTTGATGGCCGCTGGCACGTTGGAGAAGTGTGCTCTTCACGGATTAATCCCGGTTTCAACTGTACCGGGCAGATGGCAGACGTCGTGTGGGCAAGCGGTTTGCTGATGTCAACGTTGTGAACAGAGTGCCCCATGGTGGTGGTGGGGTTTTGGTATGGGAAAGCATAAGCTACGGACAACGAAAACAATTGAATTTTATCAATGGCAATTTCAATGCACAGAGATACTGTGACGAGATCCTGAGGCACATTGTCGTGCCATTCATCCGCTGCAATCACCTCATGTTTCAGCATGATAATGCTCCATGTCACAAGGATCTGTACAGAATTCCTGAAGCTGAAAATGTCCCAGTTCTTCCATGGCCTGCATACTCAGACATGTCACCCATTGAGCATGTTTGGGACGCTCTGGATCGACGTGTACAACAGCGTGTTCCAGTTCCTGCCAATATCCAGCAACTTCGCACAGCCATTGAAGAGGAGTGGGACAACATTCCACAGGCCACAATCAACAGCCTAATCAACTCTATGCGAAGGAGATGTGTCGCGATGCATGAGGCAAATGGTGGTCACACCAGATACTGACTGGTTTTCTTATCCATGCCCCTACTTTTTAAGGTATCTGTGACCAACAGATGCATATCTCTATTCCCAGTCATGTGAAATCCATAGATTAGGGCCTAATTTATTTATTTAAATTGACTGATTTCCTTATATGAACTGTAAAATCTTTGAAAATGTTGCATGTTGCGTTTATATATTTGTTCAGTGTAATTAACCAGAATTCTGCGTTTGCATAACAAATATCTTGCTGTGTATTGTAAAAGCAGACCAAAAAAGGTTATATTGTAATTTCAGACAAATCTTGTGCTTCAGTTGCACTTCTCCACTCGGATGAGAATTCACCAACGGGCATTCTATCAGCAGACAGCGCTCTGACTGATGTGTAGCTACTTGTCGGTGTAGCCTACTTTTCTCCGGTAAAATGCAAGATGAACTTTTAGCAAAACATTAGGAAATGTAGCTGGGATTCATTATTTCGATGATAAACATAAATATGATGGCATGCATCGTTTTAGCAAAAAATACCTTGCTTTTACATTGTAAGCTCATTTACTTGTGTGGTTGCTAGCCAAATAGCGTTGCACTTCTATTGTCATATGATGAAAATGAAGCTATTTTCTGCCGAATGTGTTGCAGTAATGTATTATCTGTGAAGGAAAACTATAGTTGCAAGCCCCTGATAACTATTGAAGAAAAAAAACATGACTTTCAATATAAAACACAGGTGAAAAGGTTTAAAACGCAGATTTTTTGATGGTCTGCTATTTGAAAATACAGATTTCTGATTACCACCAGGAGCAATTTCTGTCACAGTTTCAGTGTATATAATCTACAATGGTCTGTATTTTTTGTATAAGTTAGTTTTACGCAGTTCCTATTTTCAAACATGAGTGCGCCACCCCACCATGTGCCACTATGTTAGACCGCAGTAAAGTGTAGCATATTTGGTTGGTCTTACTGATGGTAGCATATGTGTCAGTTTTGTTACCAATGTGTTGTTTATGAGTGTGTTACATACCTTGGTGTTGTCCCGTGACTCTGTCTTTGGGCATGTGTGTGTTGACCACAGGCCCAGCCTGTAGGAAGAGCTCCCACAGCAGTGGCTCTGCCACTTTCTCATCCAGACCACCCACATACACAGTGGCATCTAAAGTGATAGAGAGCAAAACCACGTTAAGTGGATGGGTATAAGCCCAAACAGAAGACCTTGCCATACAATATATTTTCAAGTCGCGGTCAAATGACAAACGTTACCTGTTTTTAGCAACACTTTCCCCATATTGGAAGGTATATCCTATATCCATAATCGGTTCCTATTACTTGGGCATTACCGAGCAGTGCACAAGAAAGCAGTAAATCTAGTTTGCACGCACACACTCATTTTACGTCCCCTGTGTGGTGGTTCACTAGCACAAACCCTGCAAAACGGGCACAGTGTTGCCAAAGACAGGGAATAGAAGTAGGGTGTAGCCTAGTGGTTAAGAGCGTTGGGCCAGTAACCGAAAAGGTCGCTGGATCGAATCCCCAAACTGACTAGGGCAAAAATCTATCGATATTCCCTTGAACAAGGCACTTAACCCTAATTGCTCCAGGGGCACTTTACTGCTATGGCTGACCCTGTAAATCAACACCATTTGACAGCTAATTTCCTGAAATTCTACAGATTTTGCCATAGGGTGGAGAGAAATGTTTGCAGTGTTTTTATATGATATCTGTGAGACTGACTAACAAAATCAATGGGACTCCCCCCTAGGCCGCTAGACTAACTTACCAATCTAAATAAAAATATCCTGATATGGGCTAATTAAGTGACTATCAGTGATTTACATAAGAGAAACAGTTGATGCACAACCAAATTTCGAAATTGCATCTTGTGTATTCTACCTCGTAACAATAAGTTGCCAATCCCTGATGTAGATACTGTATATGGCCCTGCTTTGAGCTAGCTGGGTCATCATACAATGTGGTGCCATTTTGGACCTCAAAATAGTTGGGGGGGGGAAATAATATATATATATATATATATATATATATATAAATAAATAAAACTATTATATCAGAAAAAGAAAAGGGACATGTTTGACTTACAGAAAAACATATTGGTCAAGCAAGCTCAGGCACCTAAAATTCTTTGGGGTGCATTTTCCAATTTGTTATGTGCATAATCCTAACAGGGTGGACATTTTGAGCCTAAATTAGCCATAGCTCTGTGAGTGTGCAAGATTGAGCTAGCATAATGATGAACACTTGAACAGGATTTTAACTTCTCTATCAAACATATTTTAACATTTAGAGAAATGAAATCCCTATAATTTAGCCTAATATGGTGGAAATGTATAAGTGGGACATACAGACTAACAACATGAAACAATGAACAAGATACAACTGAGTGTTTATATTTATTTAGCTTTGCACCAATGTTTTCCCACCAAAGAAATGATGACACTTCCTGAATGTGGTGTCATTGTAGGAAGTGGTTGTTTTATTAAGTGGAGAATTACAACAAACTAACAGGGTGGAAAGTGATCAGGGCCACACAGAAAATCTTTAATAAATAATAGAATAATCATTAAAAAAAACTATTGATGAACGAGACTAACTATGACTATAAAATAATGAAGATTAAACATTTTATGGCTTATGGCTTATATTTCTTGTGGAAGTTGATAAATAACACCTGGGGACATGGCAAAATGGCCTACAACCACTGACAAAAAGTGTTTAAAATGCATAAAATTCCCTTTCAGGATCCATATATTGGTATTTTTAAGGTAGACACCTGACCTTATATTTAATGCCTTTTGGAATTCAAATGTTATACTAAATAATAACTGACATTTCCTGGGGACAGAAAAGGCACCGTATAATAGGAATGACCCAGCTAGCTACCCATTCATAGACCGGCAGACACATCATAGACAAATCTGACGAGTCCGTCAGGACATGAAAATACATGGCTAGCGATATGTAGCTTGTTAGATATAGCAAACGTTGGCTAGTAAACGAGATTGAAGCTAGCTAGCTAGCTTTGTTTGGCAATGGAATGGAGTCACACAGGCAAGGGATATGGCTAGCTACTTAATTTAGCTAGAGTTTTAGCTATAATGCTCAGGCCATGCGTTAAAATGTGATGTAAACTACTCATATGGATACATTTGATGAAGTTCATTGTAAGATATAAAGAGTTATCTACCTTGGTTTCGCTCCGAAATTGGTCCCGCCGCCATGTTAAATCCGGCGTGAGGGCAGCGTTATGCGGAAGTTGTTCTTCTGATGGGCAAGGAACATATCCGGCAAAACCAAAGAACGCGATTAGATAAAGTCGCCCTCTAGTGGAGGGCTGTCTGTAACGGCGAGCTCTCGTTCAAGATGCAGTTGACATTATCGATATCATGGATGGTCAGTCCTTGCATCCATAGCTCTGTCTACAGATCACAGATCACCGACCATTTCGAATCCCACTATGCAATCTGGTTTCCGAGCTGGTCATGGGTGCACCCCAGCCACGCTCAAGGTCCTAAACGATATTATAACCGCGATCGATAAAAGACAGTACTGTGCAGCCGTCTTCATCGACCTGGCAAAGGCTTTCGACTCTGTCAATCACCGCATTCTTATTGGCAGACTAAATAGCCTTGGTTTCTCAAATGACTGCCTCGCCTGGTTCACCAACTACTTCTCAGATAGAGTTCAATGTGTCAAATCGGAGGGCCTGTTGTCTGGAACTCTGGCAGTCTCTATGGGGGTGCCTCATGGTTCAATTCTCGGGCCGACTCTATTCTCTGTGTATATCAATGATGTCTCTCTTGCTGCTGGTGACTCTCAGATCCACCTCTACGCAGACGACACCATTTTGTATACATCTGGCCCTTCATTGGACACTGTGTTAACAAACCTCCAAACTAGCTTCAATGCCATACAACACTCCTTCCGTAGCCTCCAACTGCTCTTAAACGCTTACACCCGCCCGCCCGACTAGAATCACTACTCTCCACGGGTCTGACTTAGAATATGTGGACAACTACAAATACCTGGGTGTCTGGTTAGACCGTAAACTCTCCTTCCAGACTCACATTAAGCATCTCCAATCCAAAGTTAAATCTAGAATCGGCTTCCTATTTCGCAACAAAGCCTCCTTCACTCATGCTGCCAAACATGCCCTCGTAAAACTGACTATCCTACCGATCCTTGACTTCAGCGATGTCATTTCCAAAATAGCCTCCAACACTCTACTCAGCAAATTGGATGTAGTCTATCACAGTGCCATCCGTTTTGTCACCAAAGCCCTATATACTACCCACCATTGTGACCTGTACGCTCTCGTTGGCTGGCCCTCACTACATATTCGTCCCCAAACCCACTTGCTCCAGGCCATCTATAAATCACTGTTAGGCAAATCCCCGCCTTATCTTAGCTCATTGGTCACCATAGCAACACCCACCCGTAGTATGCGCTCCAGCAGGTATATCTCACTGGTCATCCCCAAACCAACACCTCCTTTGGCCGCCATTCCTTCCAGTTCTCTGCTGCCAATGACTGGAACGAACTGCAAAAATCTCTGAAGCTGGAGACTCTTATCTCCCTCACTAACTTTAAGCATCAGTTGTCCGAGCAGCTTACCGATCACTGCACCTGTACACAGCCCATCTGTAATTATCCCACCCAACTACCTCATCCCCATATTGTTATTTATTTTGCTCATTTGCACCCCAATATCTCTATTTGCACATCATCTTCTGCACATCTATCACTCCAGTGTTAATACTAAATTGTAATTATTTTTGCACTATGGCCTATTTATTGCCTTACCTCCATAACTTACTACATTTGCACACACTGTATATAGATTTTCTATTGTGTTATTGACGTATGTTTTGTTTATCCCATATGTAACTCTGTGTTGTTGTTGTTTTTATCGCACTGCTTTGCTTTATCTTGGCCAGGTCGCAGTTGTAAATGAGAACTTGTTCTCAACTGGCTTACCTGGTTAAATAAAGGTTAAATAAAATTAAAATTAAAATGAATTTGAGAGTGGTTATATTTCTCCCTCAGCTTTTTACCAAAAAAAAGTTGGCCCTGTAGAGCTACAGTGCCTTCAGAAAGTATTCACACCCCTCGACTTTTTCCACATTTTGTTGTGTTACAAAGTGGTTTTAAAATAGATTTAATTGTATTGTTTTTAATCAACGATCTACACAAAATACTCTATAATGTCAAAGTGAAAAAAATAAAATAATAATAATGGAAAATAAAACTCCAATATATAATCAACCCCCTGAGTCAATACATGTCAGAATTACCTTTGGCAGCGATTACAGCTGTGAGTTTTTCTGGGCAAGTAAGTTTCTAAGAGATTTGCAAACCTGGATTGTACAATATTTGGCCATTATTCTGAAAAAAATTATTCAAGCTCTTTCAAGTTGGTTGTTGATCATTACTAGACAGACATTTTCAAGTCTTGCCATAAACTTTCAAGCCGATTTAAATCAAAACTGTAACTAGTCCACTTTCAATGTCGTCTTGGCAAGTAACTACATTTGGCCTTGCGTCTTAAGTTATTGTCCTGCTGAAAGGTGGATTTATCTCCCAGTGTCTGTTGGAAAGCAGACTGAACCAGGTTTTCTTCTTGGGTTTTGCCTATTCTTAGCTCCATTCCTTTACTTTTTATCCTAAAAAACTCCCTAGTCCTTGCTGATGACAAGCATACCCATAACATGATGCAGCCACAAACATGCTTAAAAAAATATGAAGAGTGGTACTCAGTGATGTGTTGTGTTGGATTTGTCCCAAACATAATGCTTTGTATTCAGGACAAAATGTTTCTTTAATTTCTTTGCCAGATGTTTTGCAGTATTACTTTAGTGCATTATTGCAAACAGGATGCATGTTTGGAATATTTTTATTCTGTACAGGCTTCCTTCTTTTCACTCTGTCATTTAGGTTAGTGTTGTGGAGTAACTACAATGTTGATCCATCCTCAGTTTTCTTAGCCATTTAACATTTAATTCAAAAATCATGTTAAACACCATTATTGCACACAGAGTTAGTCCATGCAACTTCTGACTTGTTAAGCAAATGTTTACTCCTGAAGTTATTTAGGCTTGCCATAACAAAGGGGTTGAATACATATTGACTCAAGACATTTCAGCTTTTCATTTTTAATTAATTTGTAAACATTTCCAAAAACATAATTCCACTTTGACATTATGGGATATTGTGTAGGTCAGTGACACACAATCTCAATTTAATCCATTTTAAATTCAGGCTGTAAAACACAACAAAATGTGGAAAAAGTCAAGGGGTGTGAATACCTTCTGATGGCACTGTATGTACAGTGCCTTGCAAAAGTATTAATCCCCCTTGCGTTTTTCCTATTTTGTTGCATTACAACCTTTAATTTAAATTGATTTTTATTTGAATTTCATGTAATGGACATACACAAAAAAGTGAAATGAAAAAAATAACTTGTTTCAAAAAATTCTAAAGAATAAATAACGAAAAAGTGGTGCGTGCATATGTATTCACCACCTTTGCTATGAAGCCCCTAAATAAGATCTGGTGCAACCAATTACCTTCAGAAGTTACATAATTAGTTAAATAATTCTGTCCTGAAAGGTCCTAGAGTCTGCAACACCACTAAGCAAGGGGCACGACCAAGCAAGCGGCACCATGAAGACCAAGGAGCTCTCCAAACAGGTCAGGGACAAAGTTGTGGAGAAGTACAGATCAGGGTTGGGTTATAAAAAAATATCTGAAACTTTGAACATCCCACAGAGCACCATTAAATCCATTATAAAAAAATGGAAAGATTATGGCACCACAACAAACCTGCCAAGAGAGGGCCGCCCACCAAAACTCACGGCCCAGGCAAGGAGGTCATTAATCAGAGAGGCAACAAAGAGGCCAAAGATAACCCCGAAGGAGCTGCAAAGCTCCACTGTGGAGATTGGAGTATCTGTCCATAGGACCACTTTAAGCCGTACACTCCACAGAGATGGGCTTTATGGAAGAGTGGCCAGAAAAAACCATTGCTTAAAGAAAAAAATAAGCAAATACGTTTGGTGTTCGCCAAAAGCCATGTGGGAGACTCACCAACATATGGAAGAAGGTACTCTGGTCAGATGAGACTAAAATTGAGCTTTTTGGCCATCAAGGAAAACGCTATGTCTGGCGCAAACCCAACACCTCTCATCACCCCGAGAACACCATCATGCTGTGGGGATGTTCTTCATTGGCAGGGACTGGGAAACTGGTCAGAATTGAAGGAATGATGGATGGCGCTAAATACAGGGAAATTCTTGAGGGAAGCCTGTTTCAGTCTTCCAGAGATTGGAGACTGGGACGGAGGTTCACCTTCAAGCAGGACAATGACCCTACGCATACTGCTAAAGCAACACTCAAGTGGTTTAAGGGGAAACATTTAAATGTCTTGGAATGGCCTAGTCAAAGCCCAGACCTCAATCCAATTGAGAATCTGTGGTATGACTTAAAGATTGCTGTACACCATCGGAACCCATCCAACTTGAAGGAGCTAGAGCAGTTTTGCCTGCTTACTTGGTGGCAAACCCTTGTTGGCAATCACAGAGGCCAGACGTTTCTTGTGGTTGGCCACCAGGTTTGCACACATCTCAGGAGGGATTTTGTTCCACTCCTCTTTGCAGATCTTCTCCAAGTCATTAAGGTTTCGAGGCTGATGTTTGGCAACTCAAACCTACAGCTCCCTCCACAGATTTTCTATGGGATTAAGGTCTGGAGACTGGCTAGGCCACTCCAGGACCTTAATGTGCTTCTTCTTGAGCCACTCCTTTGTTGCCTTGGCCTTGTGTTTTGGGTAATTGTCATGCTGGAATACCCATCCACGACCCATTTTCAATGCCCTGTCTGAGGGAAGGAGGTTCTCACCCAAGATTTGACGGTACATGGCCCCGTCCATCGTCCCTTTGATGTTGTGAAGTTGTCCAGTCCCCTTAGCAGAAAAACACCCCCAAAGCATAATGTTTCCACCTCCATGTTTGATGGTGAGAATGGTGTTCTTGGGGGTCATAGGCAGCATTCCTCCTCCTCCAAACACGGCGAGTTGAGTTGATGCCAAAGAGCTCAATTTTGGTCTCATCTGACCACAACACTTTCACCCAGTTCTCCTCTGAATCATTCAGATGTTCATTGGCAAACTTCAGACGGGCCTGTATATGTGCTTTCTTGAGCAGGGGGACCTTGCGGGCGCTGCAGGATTTCAGTCCTTCACGGCGTA